AATTGCAGAGACTAAATAACCGATTAATATGTGGCTTCAATCCTACGGGTCCAGAATTTTAATTACTACCTCATAACTATGTTAAAGTGCCCATTCTTAGGGGTGATCTCGACATAGGGGCCACAAATAAAAATTCTGAATCCGTAGATCGATTAGAATTCAAATTCTAAGTAATATCCTCCTACAAACCATGCTCATACGTGTTGTGGTTGGAAAGCTATAGTCCAATCTCTCCAGAGTGCCAAATTTGGCAGGGAAAACAAGCTGATTTCGCATTTTTGGAGCAATAAATAAAATTTCTACATGGAAAACTCTCTCAGTGGATTCAATCACATCATTCCCTCAAACCCAGTGCAAAAAATATATTGAATTGGTGTTGTGGAAGGTACAAAGTCCATGTCTCAAGAAATTGGCCCTGTGACGCTATGTCACGGCATGTCACTGGTCATCACACTTACCAAGGATTGTGCAACACCATTATGAACTGAGAGAAGTATGCCCATACATCATGCCCTATGTAATATCTAGTTACAAGCTCAAATTCAAGTTGTTGAACAACATATCGCATGCTATCAGTGCCGCAAACGAAGATCAGTGTGAAACCAGTCAATGAGGCAGATGTCACGCTGCCCTAATTTGGGCATTTTGCTTAGTCACTTCAGTTTCCCATCTCTTCGTCAGACGTCTGTGGCAAGTGTGACAGAATGTGACCTTCCCTACCTTCAAGTATGATTTCGTTCATTCAGTGGTTTTTGGTTCACTGGAGTACCAGCTCAACTCAAAACTCTTGTAATTGAATACTTGTTGAATGCTATAAGATATAATTTTTTTTAAAAGGCTCTTTTCCAAGATTTAGTGCCAAAATCACACAGATATATATTCAGTTTTATGGTGAATGAGCACCTATTTGCAGGTATCAAGAGATCAAAATATGCTACACCTTAGAAACTTGGGATTACTATGAAGAATATATATCTGCACACAATGCAAAAAAAATTAAAGAAATAGCTTGAGAACTGACCCCGGAAAAGTGTTTTGACTCATTGACTAGTGTGACTCATTGACTGGTGAATGACTGTATACACCCTTCTAATCTAGATTGAATCGACGACTTGCAGTATAAATTCCCTGTAAATGCGTAAACCTCGAGCGGCACCTTCGTATGACATCAGGCTTGGGTATATACATCAACCACGTCAAGTCCAAATTCTCGTCTCCTAATCATAAACCTCGTGCAGCACCATTTGTCGAGGTAGGGGGAAGGCCGAGACCGTTCATCGAGATAGGGGGGGATGCCGATCAAAGAAGGGAGGAGGCCATTGAGCTAGTTAGGAGGAGACCATTGGTAAAAGGAGGAGACAGTTCATGGGAGGAGACACGTCGTTGACGGAGCCAACAGTTCGTCGAAGGCGAGAACAGGTTGTCGAGGAGACACGTCGTTGATGGAGGCGACAGTTCGTCGAAGGCGGAAACAGGTCGTCGAAGGAGGAGACAGTTCGTCAAGGGAGGAGACAGGTCGTCGAGGGCATACAAAGTTCGTTGAGGGAGGAGACAGGTCGTTGAGCTTGGAGCTTAGAAACCAATCGTCGAGGGGATACCAGTTGTTGAGGGAGGAGACCAATCATTGAGGGAGGAGACGGAGGAGACCGTCTGCGGAATGAGGAAATCATTCGTCGAGAAAGGAGGCCGTTAGTCGAGGGAGGGAAGAGGCCTTTCGTCATCTCTACCTAGGGAGGAGACCCTTCGTCACGAGAGGAGGCCGCTGGTCGAGGGAGAGAGAGGCCGTTTGTCATCGGGAGGGAGAAGGCCGTTCATCGACTTATGAATTGGAGCTTGCGTGGGTGTGGTGGGAAGGAAGAACTCAGATATTCGCGCTGACAGAAGATTCAACATGATCACCTGATGTCGGAGTTTCAACGGACTTCAACAAATTGTGACTTGTTCACTCGCCTGTTGACATCAAGCATGTGTGGAAAAGAGGACGAAGGCGATAGAAATCAGATGACGAGGACTACACTACAACATGACTTGTAACTGACTATTCCTCGACTTCAGCTAGGCCATGAAATTTTGGCAGATAAATAACTGAGCGCCACATGACTTGCACTTACCAACATGACTTCACATGACCTTCTTGTGAGGGGTAGATGACTTGATCTGACTTTCGTTTTTACTGAGGATTACATAGGTAGGTAGGTCAAGCACACAGGGCCTTACAAAAAAATTCGACCCCAGCTACTTTTTTTAAATTCTTGAACCCCCTTGGTTTCACCAACCATCTTCCTGATTGTTTCTGATGACATTCCGCAATCCCATCCCTCGTGCCCCTGCTTGCTCCAAGAAAGACGCACGTTGGTCGCTGAAATCATTGGGAATCGAGCTGTTGACTGTCGAACTGTGACAAGCAACTTGCCCGAGACTAAAATCTCTATCACTACCAAAAGGTCTTGCAGAACACGCGGAACCTCAAGTCATTGATTTGGTAAATCTCAGTCTTAAATTGACTTCTCCGAGTAATTTTTTACGGAGCTTTTAGGCCTGTGCAAACTTCTGACTGTCTTGGCCTCCTTGAAACTTGCGATGGGCGCTCTGTTGGCTACGGTACACGCATCGCTGCGCGTCACGCGCACCTTACCTCCGACAGAATTGTTTTTCGGGGATTATGACCTCGCAACGGATTTTGCAGGCTTCCAGTGTTCAATATCCTGTGATCTAGCCATGTGATGCGATAGAGCGCATTGGGTTATTCCTAGCTGAACCTGCCCAGCCTTCTATTGCGATTTTCTCCCCTCACCAGGAGATCCCGGTTCACGGAAGGAGGGATTTTCCCCATATCTTCCTTCCCGAAAACGATCACGCTAGTATTGTGTCCTTTGTTCATAAGGCTGTCTACGTGCAAATTATGCTTTCCTCTCAACGAATGGCGCAAACCATTCATCTCAATCCGGGTTTAGCTTGAGCCTTGGCAGACTATGCAGACTTTTCCTTGATGGGACGGAAGTATATGAAGATTACTGGAGTGTTCTCGATACCTAGCCCTGTTAAAGGAAGCTCGAAGCGTCTCATCTCAATCGGAAATATCAAGAGTACCTGGTCAGTTGCATAGTAATTTCGGATCTGCGTAGCTTGCCGAAAATACGAGCACCTGACAAGATGTTAGGAACGTGCTTTGCCAATTATGAAGCGTGACGATGGAGACTGTCTGGAAGGAAAAAAAAATGCCGTTTTCCGTCGTATCCTCCCGGTCATGTTCCACATCTACTTTCAAGACTCTGATTCGAATGACAACCTGTCGATCGATCGCTGGCTATACGTTCTCGACTGGGCCTTATTACGCAACACTGCGTAATGTTTATTCTAGTATCTGGCGAATTGACGGTATTCTTCGAAAGGACCCGTTGATCAGGCGTGGAACGCCAGGCTTTCTCTATAATCGATGATCAATCAACTTGTCTTATTCTTGTTTCCTCCATACGGTGATAAAGCCGGAGATGAATTCGAGGTCGAATCTTCTCGGATGTATAGTGAACAATTCACCATTTGCCAGCCGAAAGACGCCAGACAAAAATTGTCGTCTCTGCACCGTGACTGAGCTTGGAGGGATTAGTTGTGATCACACCTTTTTGGCACCATATTCCTCTTACGTATAGACGCCCGTCCTCTTCTCAAGAAAGCATCAAATGAAGCACTGAAATGCACTAGGGTGATACTTCCTGTCAAAGTACTTGCCCATCGTAAACCCAGTGCACAACTTACATACCTCATTTTCACATCAAAATGAACGCTCCTATGCGTCGAAATAGCGTCAGCTGATCTCATTTGTTACTGATCATGAATGAGTACACCTGACCTAATCAGAGGACGTTTTCTTTTATTGGAGGAAATGAAATGGTAATAACAAAGCCCTGAGCAGACCATGCGACAGATGCCTCCGCTCAGGAATAGTCTTGCGGTCTGATGATGACATGACGGTGCTGACGGTGGCTATGAGCGTGACAAATGGGATTGAGCTTCATACATCGTCACCCGACGTAAAGTAAGATCCGGAATGAGTCTCGCTTTCATCGGTGCGGACGAAGACGGAGTGGCTCAACCCATACTGGTACGGAACTGCAGTTGAATTGGATCGGTCAAACCGAGTAAAAACAACTCCGAAGATCTCCAGCCCCCCGATGCTTCCGATTCCCCTCTCTCGGGCCATGACATGTCGGGACATTAAATGCAGCCCGCGAGGATTCGTGTGGAGGAGTCTTTTAGTAGGTGGAGTCACGGATCGCAAATCAGTTCGTGATCACGACCATCCATCCAAACTTCGTTTACGCAGGGGTAAAGGGAGCCAGGCTTTGTGTGACTTCCCAGCGCGGGGGTAGTTGCTGGAGAGCCCCACCTTTCGTATCCTGGCAAGCCTATTGCTCGGAGTTAGGGGCCTGTACAGACAGATGTGAACCAACAACATACGTCCTGAAGCCAGCCCATGCAACGATGATAGCCAAGCTTGTCGAAACTCCAGTCATAGCATAAAATGCATAATCGTGGTGCTCTATATGGCTGGTCAGCTGTATCGGAAGGTCAGTAGGATGAAAAAGTCAAGGTTTAAATTACTCACATTCATACCGAACAAGCCGGCAATGAGAGCGCCTGTACCAACCCCGAGCGTTGCGATTGAAACCTTGGAAGTTTTAGTTGTAAAGTGAAGAAGGATTTCACTACGATACCCACCTTAAGATCGAGGGCGAGCAAAGCATTACGATTGGCATCGAGTATGAGCTCAACAATTTCTTGAGTCGACTGAACGTTACTCTAACGCGAGGAATGTGAGCATCGGTAACATTGGGCTATAGTGGTCACCAACTTCGATACTTTCGGCCTCATTTACAATTTCTTCCACCTGTTTTGAAAAGGATTCCAAGAGGACCTCAAGGTCCTCGTGATCGTGAAGCTCACGATTGACCTTGTTCTTTTTATCACTCAGATACATCGCATTCATGTCCTCATCTAGAGTTACGATCAAGCGTTAATGCAGTCTTTGCTTATGAGTGGAGTGTCATTACCTTGAGCGAGGACTTCATCTAAAGCTTCCTCGACCTGGTTGCGGTTGTGCGTGAGAATGCAGATAAGGAGGGCAGAGGGACTGAATAGTACCAATTTGGCTCTGTTTTTGAAACTTGCTAATCTTCTAGAATAGTGGAGAAGACGTTTGAAACGATCGTGGTCGATGTTATCTTCCATTTCTGCGAGAAGGCCACCAACGAGGTTTCTAATAAAAACCATCTCAGCTTCTAAAGCGCTGAGTACCGAAAGTAGAATCGATTCTATAGCTCTAGAAACAGCATGTGAATGAGCGTCTGTCTAACTTGTAGAGTGCACAAGATCGAATACCGGAATTCATAAGGTGATCCAGTACCTTTGAGATTATGCTGACGACGGGGTGAGTGCGGCTCAAAGCATGACGGGTTATTTACTCACTTCTAGGTGGTATAAAAATACAGAATGGAGTCTTGAGTCAGCGCTGCCATAGGTGTCAAATAAAACAACAGCATCCGCCTTGACCAGAGCTCGAATGTGAAGAATATTAACCTAGACTGCACTCAGAATCGAGTAACATGAAAGGAAACAGCAATACATGCCAGAATGGCTTCCTTCCTTACAAGGATTGTGGGAACAAGGTTGGGCACCCTCGAATCGATTTTACGCAAGTCACGGGCCTGTCACAGAAGATGCATGCGTTAGCTGGTATGTTCATCAATTGAAGACATAACACACGTTCAACCGATGCTCTGTGCAGAGTTCGGACTTCTTGAATTGACCGGAAATTGTTTTCACGTTGCCTGTGCGTAATTACGTCAAACTGAATGAAGCGGTTTGCTTCGAATACCTTCAGAGTCCAGCACCGTACCTAACGAAATGAACTTCAATAAATGTCGTTCACAACCACGGAGCGGACTTACAACGCAACATAAGATCAGTTGGCTGTCGTCCCTTCATCACTTTGTCGAGAATAGTAGCCCTTGCCGCGTCTTCTTGATTGTCGGGTAGATCATCGAATTCGGCGGCAGATTTTGAAGGCCAGAATATTTGTCGGTTATTGACGTAAATGAATGGACGAATACCCCTCCCCGAGTGTCTCGAGACGCCAAACGGAAGTAGAGGGGTGTACTGTGGTCGAACATTGGAGGTATAGATCCAGCGCTTCGTTGCATCGCCGACACCAAGATGAGCTTGATTTGTGAAAAGTTTCTTGGCCTGGGAGCAAGGGTCTGGCCTTACATGACTTGCGAAGTGTTTCCAGCAAGCTCTATGCATGCGCAATGTGCCAGAAAGGAACCCTCAAGTTTCGTCAGGCTGGGGTGTTGTCGAAGGAAGAATTTCAAAGTCACGAGGATCATGTGACAAGGCGTCACGCATGTATTATGTAACACCTGTTACACCACAATTTCGGCGCCACATGCATCCGAGCTCGCGACCCCACACAAACCGATTCCGATTGCCCCCACACGGAACGATATCGATTGAGGATGCCAGATCTCCTTGTGAGATGTGGTACTGATTTATTCTCTCTCCAAGTTCCTCCCATCTAGCTTCGAATTGGAGTATAGAGGCATTCATTCAGCTCACCTCTCCTCTTTGAAAATAAATTTTAGAACTGGCCATCTTATTTTCCTGAAGTCATGTTGACTCAAACTTGCCTTTTGAGATTGACTTTCTGACTCCAGAGACGGAAAAGGACAGGGAATAAATTTCCGGATTCGACGCTCAAAACGTTTCCACAACGTGCTGGGATCGGACATATCCGCGCTCAGCAAGATCAGGCATCTCTGATTCCATCCTTTTCAGGAGGCTGGAACCCTTCACGCAGGTTCGTTACATATTCAGGGATTACCGGACTTCGGTCGATAACTTCAATGCTGTATCAATTCCTACTTATAACATGACCAGTATTAGCCACCTTCCTCCCCCTCCTCTCCCTCAAACCCATGTCCGAAACTCGTAGGCTTTTGGAGGCTGCCGCAGCCCTCTCTACCATTCTCCGCGACGCTGGAATTCCACATGCTTTTCATGGAAGTGTACTGACCGCGGTTCTAGCCAACGCTCCGCTCAGTGACGCAAGTATCATTCTCGCCTAACGCAGTTTTTGTCAATTTGAGTTCCGTACTTCAGGAGATCTTCTGTCTTGTCGAAGGTGGTCAAACCCAAGCCCATCCCTTTCGTCGAGTTCGTGATGCGATCGCGGGCAACGATATTTTTTCAGCAACCCACTCGCCTTGGACAAATCGGCAAGCTACCGTTTTTATCTCGCAATTAGCGTTTAGCAGCCAACCCTGATCACTTGCACCACATAGACTTCACATCAGTTATCGGCGACTGATTCCGACGATCGACGTAAGTACGGCGAATTGTTCATTCCCTTGTATATCAGCGACTGACCAGAAATTCAAATTTATAGATAGAGATCTTGCCTGCTGGAGAAACTGGCCCACGAATTCTGGACAGCACGACTGTGATGAAAATGCAAGGAATTCCCTTCGTGACGATCTCGGAGTTTATCCGAGCAAAACTGAAAAATTGGATCATGTACGCTGAATCCGTGCTCAGAGCATTGCCAGCTTTTGAATTGATGTGGCTTTCAGCCGTGGTTCAGATCGGGATGCTCAAGACATCTCCTACGTGCTGACTAAATATTGGAATCGAGTGGATATCAACCGAATACCTGAGCAAGACATGAGCCAGTTTGTAGCACGTAATGCAAGCGTGGCACCAGCATGGTTGGCAGTGAAGAGGAAGTATGGAATGTAAAATCTGGCCAAATGATACAGGCGATTGTGAGAAGTCGTTGGAGGGTCAAGTGATGATAGGCCGACGGTCTAAAAAACTTTTTTGGGGAACGGAGAGATAAAAGCTACTCACGTAGCACAAAAATTGTATCACTAGCACACCACTCAACCACAAGTGGTCTTGAATGTATTTGAAGGGCAAGTTTGGGTTTGAAATCCGTTGCTGAGTCTCCTACAACCCTTGTCACGATTTGGCGTCTATCAAGGACAAGATGTAACGTCAAATTTTACGAGATGACCGCCTGACCACCCATTTCGTAAAGTCCACTCATAGAAGGCGCTCACGGGAGTCATACATCGAAGTATCGGGTTCGCTTAAACGATGATCTTCATGGAAGGCTGGCTATGGGCCACGTCAGTGAACAACTCTCCCGCAACATCACTCACATGGTATAGAATTCCACTGATTCAAAATATCATTCCCATCCCGATATCCAATCGATGACACAGACACTCTGAAGCCTCAGGCAAATGGGACAGAGAACGTGGGTGATCTGCGGCTCCAAAGGCAGGGCAAATGTGCGCAGGCCCTTTCGAACCACCTCGATTTGGCCTGAAGCGAGGTTTTAGACAGGCCATTCGTTGGCTAAATACGCCGTTGACCACAAATTTCTGGGGCGGTCCGTCCTGAAATGAATTCGGAGGTCTCCGTCTGGAGATCAATGACGACTGCGCGAGGCTGGGACGCGGAAGCGTACGTACCTTTACCCCATGCCTCGTGACTCCCGTCTGAAGTTAGCGAAAGTCGCAATCTTCTCTTTGAAGAGATACCGAGGTTGTGGACGCTTTGAGGGATTTGGTCTCATGGAGGAAGTGACAGCGCAGTTCGAAACATACAAAAGCTGACCCTTGCTGAGCGACACATCCAATTCATTGTTTTTTGAGACCCCAAAATGGCCCTGCAAACAGGATTCCTGCGAAAGCAGGGGAGACCCAGGTCCACGGCAAAAGTCCAGCCCGGCGTCATCTCTAGTAAATTTATCCTGGAGCGGGAGAAGAATTTTAAAATTACTTATACGGGTTGTTCGTCCTGTTAGTAAGTAATCGGATCATTCACAATAGTCGCAAACACCTACCATAAACGATTCACTCAACAATATATGACCGCGTCATTTTGTGCTCATAAATGCAAATGCCAAGTTAGCATTCGCATGCAGTTTTATAATTAGGACTCACCAAGTTATCTAGAAAAAATCCACTGGCTTCTTTGAAAGACGCAAACCACGTTCTCTAGTTCGTCTGAAACAATTGAGAGCCGGTCAAACCGTGGCGGATTGACCCTTGCCAAATGATGTCCAGAACGTTGACGTTCAGCACTGTAAGCGCCATGCTAGGGACTATGATTCCCATTAGCCAAACAACTCAATCCGTTATCTCATGTTATCTTTGATAAGTATTGAATTAAATGGGCCGTTATCCTTGAATGTTGAACCTGACCACGGGAAGGAAGAGCTGGCAGTGCCACTGCCAGTGGCCCGAACTTCCTGTCTGGGTCGGCAACTTCCGTTTCGTTTCGTTTGACTGGAGCTTTGAAAATCAATAGAGAAGTAGGGTAAACTGCCGATAGATAGCGTATTCTTAGTCTTGATCAAGTCTTGATAGGAGGATCCAAAAGAGAAACTAGCCTTATGATGAGATTTTGTCGTTTTCTGAGCGATATCTTGAGCAGAGAGGATATTCAAATTTCAAGTAAAGTTTGCGTACTTGGAATAAGGATTGCTGGACGCAATGATGATCTTAAATACAGCAATCGACCAACCTGACCTCGAACAGGAATATAGCCTCTTTTGAGGAGTAGACCATACAACCACGAAGAGTCCTCTATATCTTTCGGTCCCTTTGTGCAGGAAACCATGAATCCCACAGATATAGCGTCACGGCTAGCCTAAAAAGAGCTATGATTGTTTCAAACAGTTCACGTACGGAGGTAGTAAACCGCGACAACGTAGCCTTATTTTTGGGCCGTGGGTTCGGTCGAGAATTAATTGAACACGTTGAGAAGGGCAGTAGTGGTTTTTTTGAAACCCATGTAGGCCTCGGTAAAATTCGGCGAAACAAGTGGCAGAGACCTACTGTCACCTACAGCACGTCAATTGTTGATCGAACTCGTTCTCCCGATAACAGGGAATCTTGTAAAGTCAATCATCATTTTCCACCTGTTCTCATTGGGGACATTGCCATACCTTGTTGTCGTAAAGTCCCTGAAATGCTTATCGCCGAAGAAGAGGTCCAGAAATAATTTCCACTTTGATTATCAATGGGTCGGTCCATTCCAAGGCTGGGTGCTTATCTCCCGCCCAGCTGCAAGACGTTGGAGCATGCACGTGTGCAGCTTGCGTTACCAGCGGTAATTAAACTGCGGAGCCCAAGAAGAACCCTCCATGCCAGCGATTCGACCTGATATATGGACAAAGATTAAGGGGTGTCGAGCAATTCGAATCGTCTTCCTCAGATATGAGTTATGTTGCCTGGAATAGTGCAAAAGTTACGTTGTCCATGCAAAAAAGAGGCATTTCAAGTATCTTTCGAGTTGAAGAAAAGGGGACCACGTTCGATAGGCGGATCTTTCAGCAAGCTGTTCCGTAAGTCGTGGTTCAAAAAGTCGCAGGAAGATAAGAAAGTTTGTCGCCTGTTTATCGACGTCGTGGAAAATAAACAATAGAACGCGAGGACCTTGAGACCTTTTCCGTATTGTTTTGCGCTCTAGAAAATTGTCTGTGGAGAGATGTTCCATGATTTCTTGAAATAAAGTGCGGAGGACGCACTGGTAGTGTTTGTGTCAAGTCTGCCACTTGTTCTGTTAGGTTCTATTTTTAGCAAATTCTTAGAGGGTGAAGTTTGAACCTGGTTTTGAAGCCTTGGAAAAACCAGGTAGCCCTGCATCACTAAAATTTTTTGAGGAGGTTTCGTATTGTTTGAAGGATGTGTTGACTCCATCAGACGCATCCAGGGCATCGCACAACTTGAAGAAGAGCAGATTTCAGGGTCAGCACAGACTTTGGGCATATGGCTAGCATCTGCTAGCATCACTGCATTATGCTAAATGTCAAATCCAACAAGGGTTCAATGGTCTAGTGGTTATGATTTCTGTCTTACATTGCACACAGAAGGTCTCCAGTTCGATCCTGGATTGAACCATCTTTTTTTCCTTCCATTTGAAATGAGGTGGTCGTGAACTACTACTGGCTGACAACATACATGTAGATGGATACCCTTTTGCAACATTTGTAACAATATAGACGGATGGATGTTGGTACCATTTGTAACAAGGTTCGCGTGTTTTCGGTATTTCCTCAGTGAAAGGCCTGAGGCCAACGAAACACTCGGGCTTCCGCCACAAACACAACCCAGGTCGACGAGACCTGAATCACTATCATACGAAACCAGCGAAATCTAGAAGTGAATTTTCGTGGTTGCAAGGGTATCGTCATACGGGTATCTTCATCGCTTGGACTTCATTCACACGATCCATTTCCTCCCTCTACCTGTCCCTTCTCTTCCTCCTTCTGCTTCCTCTCCTCCTCATCTTTTACGAGCTACGCAAAAACAGATGAAGTCACCCGTAAAACTTGAACGAGAAAACAGAAGACCCACCTCTGCGAATACCTTCGGATCCCAGTGATCATGCACGAAATCCAGATCTTCCCTAGGGAACCACCACTCGAGGAACAAGAAAAAAATGCAATCCACGATGAGGATGATGGTGTAAATCGGTCCTGCGAATGGGCCTAGCGCCATCGTGCTGTTGTTTGGGTCAGAATTCATCGTCGACGGAAATCAGTCGATCAACCCACCTCTGCATCCTCTCCCAAAGCTCTATTTGCTTGGATCGCATGACAGTGTGATATACGACCTCCGTGCGTGCCGTGACCTGGTCCCAGTCGTAGAACGTCTTCATCCGCTCATGGGCCTGGAGGGGGTCATGTTTCCCTTGACTGACGATGAATATAGCTTCAGAGATGGCACGGACGACGTCTAGGAAGTGAAAATTAGATATAGACTATCTGTTAACGTGTCGAGAATCGGGGTAAATATACGTGGAGGAAGAAACACGAACCATCTTCCTCTGGCTCCGCGAAACTGATCATATCCTCTGGCAATATCTCTGGCACACCGCCCACACGCGTAGAAACAACATAAAGCCCCGCACATGCTGCTTCTAAGATGGCGATTCCGAATGATTCCGTCAGAGAGGTATTCATAAATATCGAGCCGCGTGATAAAACCTTGCAAAATGCAATTAGTTGATTCTAAAGAAGAGAGAGGCCGACCCACGGAAAGGACGTCCCCTGGACGAACTGGACCAAGGAGCTCTATACGGTCTTGAAGGAGGTGCTTTTCGCGCATTTGGAGGAGGTCGATTAGTTTGGGGCCGTCTCCGCCTGTTATTATATTGGCGAAGCTTTAGAGCATGTGCGACAGATTACCTACCAACAACAAAATTCACATTTGGGAATAAAGCGCAGATTCGGGGTGCGGTGGCGACAAGGAGGTCAATGCCTTTGCGGTACGCGAGACGGGAGAGAACAACAATGGTTACTGTTGGAAAGTTTGGTCAGTGAGTGCTGAGGTGAGATTGATGAAGTAAAGACGAACTGGTATCCGAAGGTGGTTGGGGGCAGGGTTTGAAGTGTTCTGCAACAATGGCATTAGGAATGACGTAGATGTTCGACCTCACGACGAGCTTTGATGGGTCTTCTGAGTCCCTGTCAAATAGTTGACCGCGAAGGACCGTGTTTTCTCGTCTTTGAGCCCGTCAGTCGATCTGCAATCGTGAAATTGAACAAAAGACGCACCCAGTATGAGAAACGCAGATCACGGCGTCTACATTCTTCAACGTGCCCACCATAAGCTTATTTGTCAATATACTCGCAGCGTCGTCGAAGCCGAACAAGCTGTGGTCTGTGAACACTGTTCGGATACCCATCAAATGGGAGTGCAGGATCCCTTCATGGCCTATAGACGACAAACTTGCGTGCGCGTGGATGAGATGGATATGTTCCCGAAGAAGAATTGTGCGCAAATAAGGAAGGGAGGTGAAGAAGTTTGGAAGCGTTGCCGAGGAGGCAATAGGGAGAAAGGGGATGTAGTAGACTTTGAGGCAGGGGAGGAGCCAGCGGATGCCAACGCGTCCTTGGGGGTGGCTGTGGGTTATTACTATTACCTAGTAATGTATGAGTTCAATCGCGTACGAGGAAAATTGAACATACCTTGTGGCCTTTACGAAGTAAATTTGCACTGAGCATGTAGATATGGTTTTCGACTCCTCCCACCGCTGGGTGGAAGAAGTCCGATATCATCCTGAGAAAATTTAAGCAAGGTGCCAGTAATTCATCTACAACACACGTACGCAATAGATAGTGTTTCCATGGTCCATGTCCTGGTCGAGGCTGGTTGGGTGCACAAGGATACTTAGTTTCTAGTAAGTAGACGAATGTGGTAACAATTACGGTGTACCGGAGATTGCCGCAATCGTTTGTCAACATGACCGCATTTCAAGAGTGGCCTGCTTGTTCTCCTAACCTTGACAATGACTACTACGGGAGCCTTCACTTCGCCAATCTTACAGGTTTTTATGCAAATTCTCCCACCTTTATTCTAGCTAACATGTCTTATTTACAGGAAATACCGGACACCATTTCTCCCGATGACCACAGCAAGTTGATGGGTACTGACGGCCTAGATATTGAGTCGAGGGTGTTACTGTACCAGGAAATGGTTGATCGTTACACCGATACACCACCATATCTCCTCGTACGGCTTGCGGAACTTTATGTGATGGTTAAGTTGGGTCCGCTCGCTCTCAACTTGTACCGCAAAGTGAGTACCTTATCCCCACTCACCCCTTTCAATCGAACGCTTCAACCTGCTCCTCTCCGAGCTAGGCACAAGACGTTTTATCTAGTGCAGGTATCGTTGACGACGTCTTGAACGCCCGCGTTGAAAGCCACGCTTTGCGCGTCGACGCTGAACTCAATGACATCCTAAGTAAATCTCAGCACGGTAATGCAACCATATATCTATTTCTAAACGTGCCACTATATGCGAGTCTACCAGCGGTGTTCTATCAGAAGTGGAAGCCTACGAAGGACCACCAATTTCCTACCAACATTCCTCATCCTCCTCCTGGTGCTCAAGACGTTAAAGATGAATGGCAGAAATTGATCCCGCAAGGATCCACTTTCTTCGATTCTTATTTGAAAAAATTAGTTATCGAGACCAATCATGTAGAGAGCACCTTTCTGCTCACGCAAGGGGTCTGTTCCTTTCATTTGAAATCACCGAGCCCACTTGATGATGGTCTCCATTTCTTAGTCAACCCAGGACCTTATTCGACGTGGCGTATCCGAAGGAGTAGTAAACTATCTCCCGCAAAGCTCTTTACAAGACACCGACAAGATAAAGAGAATTTTGAACGATACACTCGCCGTTTGTCTTTTTTTCTCTTCAAATCTTGGTCTTTCGTTATCTATAATCTGATTGGTAATACGATTGTCTAGGCCTATGCACTGTTAAACGAACTCTACAGCAGCCTCGACCTTCTCAACAAAGACACTATCTGCCGCATTCACGCACGCCTCATGAAGACCTGTCAATTCGCCGATTTTCGACTCACCCCAGGTGGCAAGACACGCACGGAAACCAAGAAGACTGTTGTTGTGGCAGGAGCCTACGTGATACAATGCTGCCCCTTTTCAGAGGTTGATACGGAGATAGACTATATCTGCAGGATGTCGAGGGTGAGGTTATATCCGCTTCATCCGGACTCACGTGTAATTCTGCGATTTTTGCACGTTTTCAGCAGTGGATCAAGACTTGGCGGAACCCATTTGCGACGGCGAGCTGGATTCATCTGACATTGGTTAGGTGTCATCCGTTTGATGTACGTGTGCATTGTATCCTCATAACTGCATATCATTCAAGACTCTTTAGGATGGGAATGGGCGTTTGGTGCGGTTGATATCGTCCATTCCTCTTTTGAGACATGGGTATCCCCCAATATCTATATCGTTGAATCAACGCGCGGATTACTATGATGCTATAAATAAGGTATGTAGGTCTGTGCCAGTAACTCCTACAGTCAAGTAATAAGCTACACAGGCATTCGAAGGTGACCATGAACCTTTGATCCAATGTATGCTGAAAGGCATGCAGGAGACCATTGCGTCGGTCCAATAACTGTGATTGATAAATTTTTTCGATTGATATTCAACGTGTCCTTTGCCTATGTGGGCCGTAACGGTGATGTCTGTCTTCTCCCTACCCATGGATGTACTTTTTCAACTGTCTCCTTCCTTCCTATCAATGTACTACATGTACATCAGTATTGATCTTAAAGACACTGAGTCCACTACTTTTGAGTGGTTCCCTACGCCATGTTCAATGCAAGAAGATACTACTCAAATACTACTTGCATCAAAGTTATCATGATGGGCTATCCTCGCGGCCATGAGCAAGCCCCCAATTTGAACGTGTTTGCAATTTCTTGCACTCATCTTCCATCTTGACCGGCATTAGTCACCTGTCCTCAGCAGCTTCCCATTGACTCTCTTGGGTACACGCTCTAATAACACTTCAAGATTGATTCCAAGAGCAGCAGAATGATGCCTGTGGAGTCCATTGCGATTTAGAGCAGGAGGGGTCGTTCAGAAGGCTGATATCTCGTTGCGGCCATCCTTGAGATATAAAGGTCTTGCTTTCTTTTCTTTTGTTCTTGCCACAACTTCGAACTGCGAAGAGATTGTCGAGCGACCTGTGCATTGCGTGATCCATTTCGACGCCGCGAAGGCTGCTCTTCGTCTCTCCTCGTTTCCTGCATGTCACATCCGGTTCCCAAGCCCACTCAGTGAGTCTTGAACAATAGGGTGTTTCACAGTAGGCCAACTTAGGTCCCAACTTTCATTCCAACTTGTGGGCCAACTTCAACAAAGTTGAAAGGGAAGTTGGCCAACTTTACCGTGAAACACCTTGAACTGCAGAAAACATGAACTTGGGCTGATTTGGGCTCGGAAGGGATTCCGAATGCAGATTTCTGCCTATTTTGGACACGTGGGAAGTTGCGAGGTGAAGTTGGGCACCAAGTTGGGATCAAAGTTGGCTGCAAATCGGCGTCGGGACCACGATTTGCATCCCAACTTGATGAAGTTGGTCAAACTTTGTCCTTCCAACTTGGCAAAAGTTGCTCACCAAGTTGGGGATTAAGTTGGGACCTAAGTTGGCCTACTGTGAAACCCCCTAATATCCGCCTTTTATGCTCAGCTCATGGATGGGTAGCCTCGAATGTTTACTCAGTGAGCTCACTACTATGTCTATCTGGCATCCGAATCGCAGCCCTACCTACAAAAACTGATTCCAGACCTTATCCTCAAGCCTGCTGTGGATGAGATCTGCAATGAATTGAAGAGCTTCAAGATATATGTCAAGTTGGATCACGACCAAGAAAGCAAGTCCCTGCTGGGCGGCGACCAAACCATTCAAGGCAAATGGGAAAACTCGGTGTCCCATTGGGTTTGCAAAGGGATGATACCTATGTAGGTGAGATTGTTGTTTTGAGCCATCAAAAGACCTCATATCAGCATCTAGAATTGCCACTTCCTCATATCCTCGAATATTGATCCATGGGGAAAACCAGGATGGCAACGCTCACACGGTTGGGATCCATCGATGTCCCAAGAGGCCAACTCTCTTCCGTGGCAGATCAGACAGCTGGTAGCCCATTTGTGTCCCAATCACAAGACTCTTCGAGTGATCTTCAAACAGTTATTCAAGGCACTTTCAGGCTGGCCTTGCAAGTTGACCAGTGTCCCTCGATTGAAGTTTCCTACCATGCCACACTTAACTTTCCGAATTCACTTGATCCTTTGGGTCACAAACATATGAACGACGATGGAGCGATCCCCGCCTCACCCCCGATCACCAATCCTCTAGAATCGCAACCTTCTCAGACCAACCCAAAGATCCTCGCTGCTCTTGGTGATGAATTGTTCAAACTCCACTCCACAGACCGCAACGTTGCACATCTTATCAGGGCCAGGTCTTTATACTTTGACGCAGTGCAATTTACCCCTGACAATGATCCGCACCGTGGTGATCGTTTCAGCAAACTTGCCTTCATATTACTCAACCTCTTTTTGTCTACTGGAGATGTTGGCTATCTAAACGAAGCGATACCAGTTTTCGAGACTGCCGTCAGTATAACTCCTGATGGTCTACCCTCCAAACCGTTTCTTCTCAACCGTCAAGGATTTGCGCTCTCGAGTCGCCACAAACAACTTGGAAACACTTCCGACCTGACGCTTGCGATTTCTGCTCATGAAAATGCTGTGCGGCTAACGCCTGATAATCATCCCAAAAAACCTCGGTGGCTAGAGGACCTAGCCATTGCAATGCTCCGTCGTAGAAGTAACGGAGTTGAAGTGAAGCAGGCAATCCCCATCTACATGACCATTGTTCGACTAACTCCCAACAATCACCTTTCCAAACCCCGTTTTCTCAATACGTTGGGCCGCCTGGCATTTGCCTTTTTTCTGCTTGAAGGGAACGTCATGAACATCAATTTGGCTGTCACAAGTTGTAGAGATGCGGTACATCTGACACTCGATGGCGACCCAGCTAAGGGTTCACGGCTCGGTGACTTGGAAGACGCGCTGATGACTCGGTTTCAGCGGTTGAAAGAGCTGACCGACCTTGACGAGTTAATTACGGTGTATCAACAAGCTTCGAGACTCACAGATGGCGCCCAGCCAGCAAACTTCTCGTATCATATCAAACTGGCAGATGCTCACTACTCCCGTTTCGAGCGTCTTGGTCTGCGAATCGACCTTGATAAAGCCATCCTGACTTTGAAGGATGTGCTGAAATCGATAGGCGACGACAGGTCGCAAAGGGCCGCTTGTTCAAGCAAGCTTGGCGTCTCGCTCACTTCGCGTTATGAGTATTTTGGGAGTACACCCGACCTCCGTGAATCGACCACCTTTCTCAAGGACGCTGTTTCGTTGGCAGATGACACTGATACTCACAAGGTCATGTACCTGATCAACCTCAGTAATTCGCAGGACCTTTTATACCAGCGCCTTGACGATACCACTTCTCTTGACGAGTCAATCTTGGCACTCACAAGTGCTGCTGAGATGGTCCCAGACGCTCATCTCATGAAACATATATGCCTTTCTAACCTCGGATCTTTGCTCATAGCTCGTTACAGACGGTTCGATCACCTGGCTGATCTGGACCAGGCATTTGTCATGACGAGGCGGGCGATACAGCTTCTTGATGAGGGTCACAGAGACAGGCCAAGCTGTTTGAACAATCTTGGAGCGGCCTATCTCGCCCGCTTCAAGAGGTTCGGCAACATTGGGGATATTGATCAATCGATTTCCATCCGTAGTGAGGGAGTGAAATTTACCCCGTTGGATGATCTCGATAGACCAAAACGTCTCAGTAATCTCGGACATTCCTTCTTGACACGGTTCGAGCGGCTCGGAGAAGCTATCGACATTGACGAATCAGTTCATGCGCACGAAGAAGCGGTCCAGGTCACACTTGAAAAGGATATCCACAAGGGTAATCGCCTTGCAAGCCTAGGTGGCGCTCTCCTGCGTCGTTTTGAATATTCTGGCAATATTCTCGATATAGATCGTTCGATCCAGCTGCGAGAGGAGGCTGTACGTCTCACTCCAGAAAACCACCCCGAAAAGCCTCACCACCTCAACAATCTTGGTGGTTCCCTATTATCTCGCTTCAAATACCTGGGTAATCTTCCTGATGTTGACAAGTCGATTGCATCGCGAAGAGAGGCTGTAGATTTAACTCCTGACGGTCACCCTGACAAGTTAGACTATCTTAGCAACCTTGGGAGCTCCTTGCTAAACCGCTTTGAACGCTGTGGTGATATTGCAAACATCGATCAATTTGTTTCACTTCGCGAAGCGGCGGTACATTTGTCACAAAATGGGCATCCAGACAAACCAAGACTCTTCGACAACTTGGGAAACTCTTTATTCGTTCGCTATCAGCGTCTTGGGGATATCACCGATTTGCAAAAATCAATCAGTGCTTTTGAAGCTGCAGTCTCCTTGATTCCAAAGGACCATGCCCGAAAAGCTGGTCATTTGAGCAACCTTGCCTGTTCTTTGGATATTCTTTTTGAAGTCAAAGGCGATGTGATTGACCTGAACAGGTCAATCTCACTGCACGAAGAGTCAGTTAAATTGACCGAAGAATCCCACCCTGATAAGCCAGAACGTTTAAGCAACCTGGGCGGCGCACTGGGATATCGCTTCAAGCGCCTTAAAGGTCGTCCAGACATTGATAAATCTATCTCAACTTGTCGAGAGTCTGTTCAATTGACGCCGAACGTTCGTCCTGACAAGGCGTTTTACCTTAATAACCTTGCAGGCACTTTATCACTCGTTTCCATTCATACGGTGACATTGTTGACCTTGACGAATCTATTTCTCTCGGCCAAGCTTCAGTGGCAATGATTCCTGATGCTCACCCTACAAAACCAAAATACCTGATCAACCTTGGGCTTTCTTTACACGCGCGTTACAAAGCTAACAATCTGGAAAGTGATTTGGATGCTGCCATCCGTCAAATTTCTCAAGCAGCGACTTTGACTGCTGGTGCTCCATCTTCTAGATTCCACGCTGCGGAGTGGTGGGTGAAATGCAGCCAGGAAATTGACGGCCCTCCTCCCCTTGAGGCATATCGCTGCATGATTGATCTCTTGCCGCTGGTCGCTTGGCTCGGACTTGGAGTACTCGACCGATATAGAGAACTTACAAGAATAGGTGCCGTAGTTCGTGATGCTGCCGCTGCTGCGATTCATGCTGGGCATTATGACCTAGCTTTGGAATGGTTGGAGGAGGGTCGTTCCATCGTCTGGGGTCAGATGCTACAGCTGCGCACCCCTATTCATGAGCTCTATGATAAAGCTCCAGATATGGCGGCCCTATTCGAGAAACTCTCGAAAGAGATGGAATCAATGGGGACAAACACCGTAAATTTGGCGAGCGATGACCGTGGTCCCCAATTATCGTTTGAAACTCTTTCCCAACGGCGTAGACGACTGACCACTGAATGGGAAACCCTAGTGCGGAACATTCGTAAGATGGATGGTATGGATGGCTTTCTCTTGCCAAAGCGGATTTCTCAGCTCGCTGAAGCCGCTGGATCTGGACATGTTGTCGTTTTAAATGTCAGCAAACATCGTTGTGATGCTTTGATCCTCAAACCCAACTTTGATGATGCCATGCATATTCATCTTCCTAATTTCACCTTTGAGCGCGCACAAGCACTCCAACGCAAGTTGTCTGGAACGTTAATGCGCTCTAACATTGGTGTCCGCCAGGATGATGAACGTGGAGTACGTGTGGTCCCTGGACAAGGCTTGAGCTCAGATTTTCCAAGGTTGCTTTCAGAACTCTGGAATCGGGTCGTTAAGCCGGTTTTAGATGCTCTTGATATTCCAGTAAGTTTATCAAAACACGTAATCCTCACCCCATTTCCCTCATTCCATTTCATAGATTGAAGCCACTTCCAATCCTTCGAGGATCTGGTGGTGTGGGACCGGCCCCCTCGCCTTTCTCCCCATTCACGCTGCTGGCTCGTATGATTTGGATTCAAAAGCAAAGTCAACACCTCTTACGCAACTTTCTGACATAGTCGTCTCATCATACACGCCTTCACTAACAGCCCTTCTGAAACTTGATAAAGGACAACCCTCCAGCGAATTCAAACTCCTTGCTGTTGCTCAGCCCTCCACACCTAGGCAATCTCGTTTGCCCAGTACGACGCTGGAGGTGGCGGAAATCCGAAAGCATCTCGGCTCTCATTCAATGATGGAGCTCGAAGGGGCCGATGCCACCGTTGAACGGGTCATCGAGGGTCTCTCAAATTGTGGCTGGGTCCATCAGCGAGCGGAGACGAAACTCTTCCAGAAGAGGCTGTTCATCTGGCTGCTGGCATGCTATTCGTGGGATATCGCAGCGTGATTGCAACAATGTGGTCGATTCGGGACAAGGATGCGCCTGTGGTTGCGGATGAAGTCTACCGTCATCTGTTATCAGTTGAACAACCGGACTCCACCCAAGCTGCTAGAGCGCTTCACCATGCAGTGGCACGTCTACGTAGGGAATCCCCGGAAATATCCTTTTTATCCTGGGTTCCATTCATTCATATTGGCCGTTAACAGAGTCGAGAACCCTGAAGATGTTGTTAGTACGATCGTTCACGTAAGGTATCTGTTAGGTGATAATGGATAGATCAATTCGCCATGAATGGGGTATTCAGTTTTCAAGCATGAGAGAGATCGAATTGGTCAATGGCCGAACAGGTGCTGGTAACTAGTATGTTCTAATACAAATCTAAAACACAGCAAAAAAAAAAAAGACGAAACCATGCCTTCACCCCGAAGATTGTGTTTTTTTTTTGGCGAATTGTCGACTCCAGTTTTTAACACCATTACTTGCCCTGGCGATAAACCTTTTGACCCTTTCTTTTCTGGGGGCAACAGGGGCAGTCTATTGTATAATCCCAAACAGATATGGTCTGGTGCAAATTTAAGCTGGGGAGATGTGTATGTGTGACCCTAATCGCCCGAAAACATTATCTTGTCCTTTGTAGAAGAACAGGTCATAGAAAATCGTTCCAACTTGAGCACCCAGGAACGGGGCAATGACTGGACACCAGATCCAATATTGACTGATGGATAGATGATCAGACTCTGCTCAACTGTGCGAAGAGGTGCGACTCACTTCCGGAAAGCGAATACCTGTCTTCCATAGCCAACCATAGCAGTGAGCATGCGGGGGCCAAGATCACGAGCGGGGTTGATAGCATAACCTGCGCCATATTAGAAGTGATATTACTACAAGCATAAACAACGCACCTGTTTCCATTCCAAGGGATGCACCGATACCAAGGATAAGGAAGAAGAGAACCAATGGCGCGAGGCCGGCTGGAGGAGGGGCATTTCTCTTGTCGTTCATGGCGTGGATGACGACGATAAGCACGGCAGTAGCGAGGAACTCCGAGAAAAAGCAGGACACGTTGGTCATGTGATCAGCCTATTAGTTTGTGAAGTCAGCTGAATTCCTACGCTTCTGGTGAGGGGAGCCTACCGCATACGTTGCGAACAATCCAGCGGTATCGAGTGTTCGAACATGGCGGCCGCCTTCTACGATATCAATGGCGTGAATGTAATTCACATAGACCAGTCCAGCTCCGACGATACCACCTAGCAGCTGAGCGAAGAGGAAACCCTAGGGGTTGACAAAATAAGCAACTAGTGTAAGGCGAGGATGGACGTCAAGCTCACGGGAACTTTCCTCCATGGGAAGCCGCGCCATGTCGCCAACGCCAACGTTACGGCAGGATTAATGTGACCACCTGAAATTCCGCCCGAGATCCAAACGCCCATAGCCGTGCCAATGGCCCAACCGCAATTCAGTGATAGATAGTCCTGAAGGGCCGATCAATACACGTTAGAGCGGCAAACTTGATTAAAATGAAGGAGCCTTACACCTTTCGGAGATGGTGCAACGCCAGTGTTTGCAGACAAGACGACTTGACAGTCGGCACCGACACCAAAGATGATAAGGACCGCAACGCCAACGAACTCTGCGATATATTCACGAAAGGGTTCACTAATTATACGGTTAGATTAGACCGTTGCTTCATTGCGACTATAAACTCACCGTAGTCTCATCCACGTATTGGGGAATGTGTTGGTATAATCATATTCTGCGAGCTTGTCCCCGTAGTCCTCAGGCGTAGTCTTCGAGTTGGGGAGGGCGTCGTCGTCGAATTTGTCGTCCATGGCTAGAGATAATGGCGTCAGGATAGGAAGAAAGGCGACGTTGGGATGATAGCGACATTTTAAAGGCAATCTGACACGATCTGGACGTCAAAGAACTTGGAATAAGTATGCTGGGCATGTGGGGAGAGTCTGGGGAAATCGCTTGCCCTATTATAGCGACCTGGTAAAGTTCAGGCGATGGTAAATGATCTGACGAGACCGTGCTACCAGTCTATCGCACGATCGCTTGCAATGCATCCCTGTGTGGGGAGATTTGGGGGCGAGTTGGTGGTGGTCTTGCGATCTAGAACTTAGAGGTTCAAACGTTCAAGCTTCAAGCTTCAGAGTCTGTGACCTGCCATCCACTCACCTCGAGAGGCAAGTCGTAACATCATGGACAGCGTGCTTCGCCCTTATTTCATCAACGAGGAGGTATTCGTTGAGCAGGGCGACGGCTTGTGCTAGGGCAACGACATCAGTACTGTGGACAAAGTTGCCGGATGACGGCCCTTCGGTTGCAATAGGAAAATCGGTGATTCTATCGGTGACTCCCGAACTCTACCCTTCTTCTTTCCTCAACTCGTTCAACATGATATATATGATAGCTGACCTCACATCCAACGAGCTAGCACGAAATGTCCCCAGTCGCAGATATCTTCGAATTCGAAAGTGCAACAAACGACACCGCCGCAGAAAGAGTCTGGCGCAGCGGGATGTCGGGCTAGAGACCAGCTTGCTGATGTAACGCACCACTACAGAAGAGTGGCTGCGACCCCAGTACGACCCGGTCACCCGGAGTAACAGGAGTCCTGAGCGTGTTTTGAGACGTCTTGGTGCTTAGGGGACCAGATAGAGTTCCAACCAGGACAACAACACCGAACTATGTCACTCTGCCTCCCTCGCGATTTTTCCTCCGTCGTAACGTACAGACAAGCAATCACCGAAATTCGATCTAGAGCTGAAATGTGAGTTTCCTTGACTTCAAACGGGTGGTTTGTCTCACTTACTATGAACGTGTAGAGCGTCACCTAACGCGGTTCACATATATGAGTTTAAAATCAGCGAGAATGAACTACAAGCGGCGTATAATCTGCTTGATGAAGAAGAGCATCGCGGAGCCATGCGGTTAGTTTGAAATTACAACAGCCTCATTTTTCTGACGTCGTTTCAGGGTAACCTACAGCAACAGTCATAACTTTATCGTTCGCTATATGCCTGGCAGTGTGCACCAGGCAGCACATGCGTCCTGGAGCATTTATACACATCAGGCCCTTAGAGACTTGCTTCCACATCCCAAACCCACGGCCGTTCCAGGATGTGTTTTTATTGCAGCGACCGGTATGTCTCATAAAGCGTATAACTTGAGTTGGGCTTCTAATCTTACTCCCTCCAGAACAAACGCTTGGCCAGAGAAAGAAAGAACCAGATTCTGGTATCATGCCTATCGGCTCCAACCGTCCCAGCATCGTTATCGAGATTGGAAGTTCCGAAAGCCTTACCCAACTCAAAATCGATGCCCAGCTTTGGCTTGAACACATGCCAGAGGTCAGTCAACTTCGTTTTTTGTTGCCACTCAAGTACTGTAACTTTCTAATTAGGTGCAACTTGGGATCCTTGTTTTGATTGACCCCCCTGCTGCTGCAAACCCCAATCCCCCAGTTGCGACTATCCAGTTGTGGCGAGGCTTTCCTCCACCTGAAAGACAAACCAGTGGTCAAGCGCAGACCCGAATTGCCAGGATGGTCTGGCAAAAAGACTGGACCCATAATGCGTCTCCGCTACATCTTTTACTGGCAGACATTTTCCAGGGACAGGTGCCCCCAGAATATGGTCAACATGATCGCGTCCAATTGGATACTGTTACTTGGCGAGAGGCCATTCATAGAGGCTGGCAACGTCATCAATGAATCTTCAGGTACTTAGCCAGGTCAACTTAACTCTGCAGATGTTTAGAATTTTAGCAAGTTCATACAACATAACGTGGTCCGTACACAAGTGGTAATTAGTCATCTGGTAGAAGATCATTGACAGGAAATGAATGTTAGAAAAAGACAAGACCAAAGAGCCGTTCGAGATATCGGAGAAGATAAGTTCAATAACGAGGCAAGATGTAGAGAGAGCCACGCGCACCACCGGCAAGCCCTCCCATCTAAAGAGCCGTCGACGAACCCCGACTACTCCCCCCCATCTCAACAATAAAATTAACAACCCTATCACGGGCGTCCTCCTGCCTCCCATCTCCTCCTCTCCATCCCCCTCCTCAAACACCCTGCTCCCAAGCACCTGCCCAAGCGCATGGACCATCCTCGTGCCCTTACTCCCCGACCTCAACGTCGGACTCGGGGGAGGACTCGACAAAGCCAAAGAACGGTACAGGACAAGTGCAGAAGTAACGCGTTGATCTGGGTGTCCACGCTAGCTTGGGTTTGGGAAACGTCGACGACTTTGTCGAAGTTGAGGTTCTGGTCAAGAGCAGCACAGGGTGTCTTCCACGCTTTCTTCAGGACCCCCCTAGCTCTTCGACCTGCCTACCAAGTTCACGAGCAGCGTCGATGCCAGATGGTCCGCCTCATTTCACCTTCCTTCCGTTTCGCGTATCCCTTGTCGTCGTTCTCTGATTTACTTTCATATACGGTAGCGTAGTGGTTATCGCGGTCGTCCCTTCCCCAAGATGCTGTTTAACCTTGAGAAATAGATATCGCGTGTCGGCTGGACTCCCTCCAACTTCGAATAACTCCATGAAAATGTACTGTGGAGACGGTCGGGGGAGACAATTGCATAAGGTCCGTATGCAAATCCGTTGACTTCAGTTCACACTCGAAATTAGACTCTGTTTTGTGGCATCGTCTGAACTCACGATGCGGCGCGTAAGGTTTAAATACCTCTCCTGCCCCCGTTTGCGTAACCAACTTGACGTCCAACGCGAACTTTGCACAGGTTCCCGTCACAAACGCGAAGAATCTCGAAGAACGCCCCTACTTCGGCAATCCGGTCTCGTTCCGTATGCCATGCAATATCAGCCCAGGCGCTGCACCGGTGCCGCTTGAACTTTCCTCGCCTTTCCAGTACTCGCTACGGAGGCCAGAGTTCCTCCATCAAATTCGAGTACAAGCAAATGGGGAAGGATGTCTGATAGACGTTGCTGGTGACGTTGAAGGTCGCTAGTAGTCTTGCCATCTTGAATCCAAAGGTCATGGGTACGGCCTGCTGCAAAATGGAACGTGCAGGCATCGGAGAGGCAGGGATCTGATACTGTGTTGCACGTATCCCATAAGCTGCAGGGCGGTTGCTGTATTTGGACTGTTGTCCAGCCTGGACATTCAACTGTAACATATATCTCAGTTTTGAGCACATCTCAGAAATTGAGCACGACCACTGCCACATACCTGCATTTTTGCACCCCAATGAGCACATTTGCCCAATCCACGTTCGACCTCATTGACCAGTCCAACCTTGAACCACCTACTTAACCAGCGGAAGCACAGGTTAGCCAATCATCACCGTCTCAGACCCCGAATTCTTGCATATCGATCAAGGAGATATTGCGTTTTGACCTAATAGCCACTGCAGCTTTGGGCGGTACGATGCCCAGGTCAGCTTGGACATCTGCTAGTGCAGCTTCGAACTCAATGGTACTTTGTTCGGCGTCCATCGAACAAGATGGCAGCGAACACCGGGGTTGAGAATATGTGTCGAAAGATGAGAGAATGGGTGACACGGCACATGTTGTACACATTCGCAACCTTGGGCGACGGTGGAGCCCAGTTGGCGGAGACTGATCACCTACGATAACTATCAAGCAGGGCTTCATTGGTCACGATATCATAAGGAGAACGACAGACGATTCTATTCACCAGCCCGATATCATACATAGCATCACACACTAAGGGAGACGAATGATGTACTTTAAATGTCTGTTCAGTGAGTCAGAGAGCGTAATGGGAAAGATGCAAACTCACCTTCCAACGCAACTATTCATCTTCTAACATGATGGGGACTCGGGAGCCTGGCAGCAACTCTTGCAACGACAACGGCATGGAGAGCAGGAGCATCGTGCCAGATAGATAAGCGGATTGTATAGGTACTGTCCCTAAAACCGTAATTGGAGCTGGTGCGTTATTGAGATATTCAGTCAACTGCTTGACGGAGGGTGAATCGGGCTGTTCCCTGAAGTAAAAAACCGTTGCGACTGTTGGGCAAGATGGCAAAGATGGTTCGATCGTGTTGTTATAAGAGAAAGTGATTGGCAAATCCCATCCTTCACGAAGAAGAAGCATAGAAAACTTCCTGTTGTAATAGCCTGAGTTGGGATCGACAATCTTGTTGATATCCTCGGAAACAAAAGGGTTTCCACTGTCCAGAAGCTTGTTAAAGGCCGCACACCAGTGCTGCGTGAAAGTCCCGCCATCCAAGGCGGTTCTGGGGTCGTTAAGGTCCTTGCGTGCACCACCAACGACAAACTCCACGCTCGCACCCTTGGCCTTCACGCCCTGCATACAATTGGAGGTACAGAATGAATCCAGGATAAAAAGGATGTCCAGCCCAGCTTGAGTTGAAGCCTCCGCCTTCAGATCTTTGCTAAGCCTCGATGGGTTGATTTCTGGTCCTGTGCCAAACTTCTGATCAATTTTGGGGGCGAAGATGGCCATGGAACCGGCGATGCTGTGGCCCGCATAGTGAAAGATGAAAAGTCTGCGACTCGGCAAGGTTCCAGATGGCAATGCGTTAAACACATCTCGAGATAGTTTCATATCGGTATGTTCTTGTGACAGGATATACTTGCAGGCGTCCACGTTATGGAGCTTCTGAATGGTCTCGATGAAAAGATAGCTGTCTTTAGCTGCGCCAGTATCGTCAGAAGCCCAGTAGGTCGAGAAAACCGAGATCTTGTCATAGGCATTTTTGGAGGTTGCGGCTCCTAGGCGGTGAATCGTGTCTTGGATTTCTGTCTCCACGATTAGAGTTGGAATCTATGCAAAGGGACGTTACATACCAATAATAGAAGAGGGTTCACAGTAGTTTATGCCATTTGAATACAAAGACATTCTGAGTGAGGGGGTTGAAGTTTAAGTTGTCTTGGAACTCCATCTTGAAGCTGTGATATTTATAGTGAACCCTATCTTGACCCTATCCACGTCCAACAGAAAATAGGAGAAATCCCTGCACATGCTAAGGCCTGCACAAAAAGACGTAGAGATGAAAAGAAAGTAGTTCCGAGACTGGCTTGTCTTGAGTGTCCTCTCTTGAACCCACCGGGAGATGTGCTATGTAGTTGGGCTATGCGGGGAAGTTAGTACGAGTAAGACGAAAATAAATAAAAAGCACATACCTACCAATTGCAAGCTACACTCATCACCTAAACTAACCCAACCAACTCTTTCCTCCGTTTCTTCGGGCCAACATTGAGAGGCGTAAAAGAAACACCGCGACTTCTCGTCGTCCTCCTCAGGCTAATCCCCCGCGTGATGCCCGCCCAACTGAGAACAAAACTGGCTAAAACGACGATAGACACAAAGCGTTGGAACATCTGCACGTATTCCTTCCATCCCCACGCATCTGCACCCGAAACGACAGGCGATGAGTGGGGAACTGTGCTATGATCTCGGGGGCATAGGCAAGTGGGGGATGAGGCGAGGTCAACGCCGTCCCAGTATTTTGATGATGCCCAGACGCGCGAGATGAGGACGATGTAATGGGGAGTGAAGGAGAAGAGGGCAAAGACAGTGAGGAGGTATGTATTGTTGTGCCAGTTGTGATTGTGGCCTTTCCTTGGTCTAACACTTCTTCTCATGATCAGGGACCCGTAGCAGGCGTCGAAGGTTTCCTCTCAGCCACCGCTTTCTTTGGTACGCCAGGGAATTCGGGGTTTTTCCTCATCATCACCTCAATATCATTGCCCTCCACTTCATCCTTCTCTTCTCCGCCAAAAAGCTGCCTCCACTCACGCCCATTCCTTCAAGAGGGTAGGGCCCCCAACAAGGCCAGCCACGAGGGCCTTCAATCCCGCTTGCTCAGCTTTCAGTCTCTTCAAGACTCGGATGTATTCGACGGCTTTACCAAGGACGTTCACTTGCGTGCGACCTTGACGCCGTCCACGAACCCTCGCTCGTCAATCACAACCATGACGGTGCCGTCCTCGCTGTCGTCCTGAGCCTTTCACAAAAACGTCACCATTGGTGACGTTCTTCTTGATTTTTTTGCCATTTCCGCCCTCCTTATCTTTCAAGAATCGGAGAGCGGATACAGCCATGCGCAAGCCTTGTATGCGAGCATTTAGGTTCTTGCGATATTGTCACTCGATGGCGGTGTGGCTGGTTTTGGGCCTTGAGCCTGCCGTAGTTGGTTGTGCAGCTATGGAGGTCGTGGTATTGGATGACTCCATAGAATGAGTAAGGTTATAAATGGGAAGCTTTTGGGAAGGACCTAGCCGAAGGTCATACTTTGGAGAGCAGCTTGGTTGCTCGCACTGCCGGGATTTGGGCATCTTTGGGGCTGCAAGTAGTACGGCGTCAACGTGAGCGTCTGTGGATTGCGTGATGCATTTCGACACGGCAAAGGCTGTTCATCGCCTCGCTTCGTTTCCTGCATGTCACATACGGTTTCCCAGCACAAGCCCACCCAGTGAGTCTTCAACAGCATCTGCCTTTTGTGCTTTCTCATGGATGGGCAGCCTCGAATGCTTACTCAGTGAGCCCGCTGTTATGTTGACCTACACTCGAATCGCACCCCTACTTACAAAAACTGATCTAAGCTCTTATCCTGACGCCCACGCAAAAGGTCCCCATTGAAATGGGGAACTCTAAGATATACGTCAAGTTGGATCACAATCAAGATAGCAAATCCCTGCCGGGCGGCGACCAAACCATTGAAGGCAAATGGGAAGCCCCGCTGGCCCGTTGGATTTGCAAAGGAATGATACCTGTGTAGGTGAGATTGTGAGTATTGAGCCATCAGAAACTTCATATCAGCATCTAGGACTGCTAGTTCCTCCTCTTATCCTCGACTATTGGTCTATGGGGAAGACCAGGATGGCACGCTTGAACAGCTGGGATCCATCGATGTCCCAAAAGGCCAACTCTCTCCAGTGGCAAGTCAGACAGCTGGTAACCCATTTATGCCCCAATCACAAGAATCCTTGATTGATTTTCGAACAGTTACTCGAGGTACCCTGAGGCTGGCCTTGCAACGTGGCAAGCGTCTCCCAATCAAAGTTTCCTACTATGTCTCGCTCAATATTTTGGGTGTGAGCGACGATGGAACAATCGTCGCCTCAAGCCCTATCACCAACTCCCCAGAATCGCAACTGTCTCAGACCAACCCAACAAGCCTCGCTGCTCATGGCGATGAGTTGTTCGAACTCCACTTCATAGAACGCAACGTTGCACATCTTACCAGCGCCAGGTCTTCTTACTTTGACGCAGTGCGATACACCACCGACAACGATCCGTATCGTGGTGATCGTCTCAGCAAACTGGCGTACATATTACTCAACCTCTTCATATTTACTGGAGACGTTAGCCATCTTAACGAAGCGATACCAATTTTCGAGAATGCTGTTGGTACAACTCCCGACGGTCTATCCTCCAAACCCTTTCTTCTCAAGTGTCAAGGGTTCGCGCTGTGGAGTCGCTACAAACGACTTGGAGACCCTGTCGACCTGATACTCGCGATTTCTGCTTACGCAGATGCTGTGCTGCTAACACCTGACAGTCATCTCAAAAACCCTTGGTGGCTAGACGGCCTCGCACGTAACGGACTTGAAGTGAAGGAGGCAATCCCGATTTACATGACTACGGTTCGACTCACTCCTGACGATGACCCTTCCAAGCCTCTTTTGCTCAATACCTTGGGCCGCATGGCACTTGGTTTTTTTCTGCGGGAGGGGAGCGACGTGAAGCTCAATTTGGCAATCACAAGTTATCGAGATGGGGTACATTTAACATCCGATGACGACCCAGCTAAGGGTTCACTGATCAATGACTTTGCAAACGTGCTGGTGGCTCGCTATAACGGGGTGGCCATGGGCGACCTGATTGACCTTAACGAGGCCATTACGATGTATCAACATGCTTCGAGGCTCGCAGATGGCGCCCGCCAAGAGAACATCTTAAATCATACCGACTCATTATTAGCTGCTCTCAACTTCCGATTCGAGCGTCTTCGTCTGCAAACCGACCTTGATCAAGACATCCTGATTCACAAGTATGTGCTGAGATCGATGGGTGACGACAAGTTTCGAAGAGCTGGTCGTTTGAGCAAGCTTGGCGTCGCGCTCGCTAAGCGTTACGAGTATTTCGGGACCTCGTCCGACCTCCATGAATCGATCACCTTTTGCAAGGACGCTGTCTCATTGGCAGATACTGATACTGATACTCGCATGGCCGAGTACCTGTTTAACCTCAGTAAATCGCAGCACCTTTTAGTCTGGGGTCAGATGCTACAGCTGCGCGCCCCTACTCATGAGCTCCGAGATGAAGTTCCAGATCTGGCCGCCCAATTTGAGAAACTCTCAGAAGAGATGGAATCAACGGGGACAAACACCGCACAGCTGGCGGGCGATGACCGCCGTCCTCAATTATCGCTTGAAATCCCTTCTAAACGGCGTAGACAATTGACCATTGAATGGGAAACCCTAGTGGGGAACATTCGTAAGGTGGACGGTATGGATGAATTTCTCTTGCCAAAGCGGGTTTCTCAGCTCGCCGAAGCTGCTGTCTCTGGACCTGTTGTCGTTTTGAATGCCAGCGAACACCGTTGTGATGCTTTGATCCACAAACCCAACTTTGATCATGTCTTGCATGTTCCTCTTTGTAATTTCAGCTTTGAGCGCGCACAAGCAATGCAACGCAAATTAAAGCAAATACGCTCCCATGTTGGTGTCCGCCAGGATGATGAACGCGAAATGAGTGATGAACGCGGAATGCGTTTTGCACAGGGCTTGAGATCAGATTTTCCAAGGTTGCTTTCTGAACTTTGGGATAGGGTCGTTAGGCCGGTTTTAGACGCTCTTGATATTCCAGTAAGTTTACCATAACACGTAATCCTCACCCCATTTCCCTCACTTCATCTGACCATAGATCGAAGCCACTTCCAATCCTTCGAGGATCTGGTGGTGTGGGACCGGCCCCCTCGCTTTTCTCCCCATCCACGCTGCTGGTTTGTATGATTTGGGTTCAACGGCGGACTCCATGTCAAAACCGCTGATACAACTTTCGGACATAGTCATGTCATCATACACGCCTTCAGTAACAGCTCTTTTAAAAACTCGTAAAGAACAACCTTCCAGCGAATTTAAACTCCTTGCTGTTGCTCAGCCCTCCACGCCTGGGCAACCTCATTTGCCCAATACGACACGGGAGCTAGCGGAAATTCGAAAGCATCTCGGCTCTCATTCAATGATGGAGCTCGAAGGGGCAGATGCCACTATTGAACGGGTCATTGAGAGTCTCTCTCAATGTGGTTGGGTTCATCTTGCTTGCCACGGCTCACAAAACCGTTCCGACCCCACAAAGAGCGCCCTCATGCTCGAGGATGGACATTTGGACATTGGGAGGATTACTAGAAGCGTATTACCTAGCACCGCAGACTTTGCGTTCCTCTCCGCTTGTCAGACAGCGAGCGGAGACGAGACTCTTCCAGAGGAGGTTGTTCATTTGGCTGCTGGCATGCTTTTCGCGGGGTATCGCAGCGTGATTGCAACAATGTGGTCGATTCGGGACAAGGATGCGCCTGTGGTTGCCGATGAAGTCTACCGTCACCTATTATCAGTCGAACAACCGGACTCCACCGAAGCTGCTAGAGCACTTCACTACGCAGTGGCACGGCTACGTAGGGAATCTCCGGAAATATCCTTCTTATCCTGGGTTCCATTCATTCATATTGGCCGTTAACAGAGTCGAGAAACCTGTCTAGCTTCTCTTCCTCAGTTCTGGCATGAGACGAAGATGTAATTACTTACAATGGTACACGCAAGGAATCTGTCAGATGTCAATAGATAGATCATGCCGGCGAGAAAGTCATGAATGGGATATTCGTTTTCCAAGCATGAGAGATTTCAAGGGGATCGAATTGTGGCCGGAAAGGTTATTGTGAAATCCGAAACAGATGCAATAGTCTTACGCGAATTTATGCCTGGGAGATGCGTTTGCGTGATCCTGACCATCCGAACACATTATCTGGCCCTTTGTAGAGGAACAGGTCATAAAGAATCGTCCCAGCCTGAGCTCCAAGAAATGGCGCCATGAATGGACACCAGACAGTGCAATACTGACTGATAGACAGACGACTAGATTCTGTTCAATTGTGCGAGCAGGCGCGACTCACTTCCGAAAGGTGAATACCGTTCTTCCATTACCAACCATAGCGGTCAGCATACGAGGGCCAAGATCACGAGCGGGTTTAATAGCGTAACCTACATACACCATATTAAGGATAAGGAAGAAGATAACCAAAGGCGCGAAGCCGGGTGGGGCGGCGGGGTATTTCTCTTGTCGTTCATTGCGCGACTTCCATACACGGTGTCGACGAAGAGTTCCCCAAGATGCTGCTTGATCCGCTGTTTGACAAACAAACACCCAAGCACTTCAATAGGCTTATACGTCCCCCCCGCGTCGCCCTTCTTCTCCCCTTCTGAAGCTTTGGAGAGCCGCTCAACGGCCTCTGTTACGTCCATAGATTCTAAAACGAGGACTTCGAATACCTGTGCTTGTTTCCTGGTGCCGTGGCTAGACAGGATGGGAGACAAAGCATGTGCCTTGGCAGAGTCCCATAAAGAACGCGCTTTTGCTCGAGCTAGACCGCCAGGAATGCCGGATGTACCATAGACGAGCATGGCAAGTGAGCTGATGGAGGCGATGGAGGATGACGTCTGGAGGGAAATAGCGCGGTAGACTTTCCAGCGGGTGTATAATGACACGGAGGGTGAGTTTCCTGGGGATCATAACGTTAGTACGTGTTAGAGTAAGTGAGAATAAATAAAAGCAGTTACCTGCCGAGATACACTCATCACCTACAGTAAGCCAATCAACCACCTCCTCTTTCCTCCGTTTCTTCACACCAACATGAGGAGGCGTAAAAGAAACACTGCAACTTCTCGTAGTCTTCCCGATCCCCAACGTGATGCCGGCCCAACTGAGAACGAACTCGCCAAAACGACGATAGACACAAAGAGATGGAACATCTGTACGTATTGCTTCCATCCCCACGCATCTGCACCGGGAACAACAGGCGATGAGGAGGGAGCGGCGAACTATCTCGGGGGCATAGGCAAGTGGGGGATGGAGCGAGGTCAACACCGTCCCTGTATGTTGATGATGTCCTGATGAGCGAGATGAGGACGATGTAAGTGGGGAGTTGAAGAAGGAGAAGACGGCAAAGACGGCTAGCAGGTATTGTTGTGGTTGTGATTGTTGTTGCTGTTGCCGTTGGTGCACTTGTATCCACTGTTCTTGTGACGAGAGCATCATCTGATCTTGTGCATTGAGTGGTTGGGTTTGGCGTAGAAGTGCCAAAGGAGAGATGAATGTAGCCGCAGTAACCGGAGGAGGGGGAACGGCCTTCCTCGGTCTACCACGTTTCCTCTTCCCGAGGACACCTGAATCGCCACTCGTAGCATGCGTCGAAGTTTTCCTCTCAGCCACCGCTTCTTCGGTACGCCAGGAAATTTGGGTTGTTTTCGCTTCCTTCCAAGCTCTTCGTCCCCTTCGTTCCCATCCTCCTCCTCATCCTCCTCCTCATCACCCTCAACATTGTCGCCGTCCACTTCATCCTTATCTTCTCCGCCAAAGCGCTGCCTCCACTCCCGCTCCCATTCCTTCAGGAGGGCAGCCCCCCCCACAAGGCCAGCTACGAGGGTTTACAATCCCGCGTGCTCGGCTTTCAGTCTGTTTTCCCTCTTTTTCAAGACTCCCATGCTTTACCAAGGATATTGGCTTTGCTGCACTTGCGTGCAACCTTGACAACGTCCACGAACCCTCGGCTACCGATCCCAAAACCTTTCACAAGAACGCCACCTTCGACATTCTTCTTGATTTTCTTGCCGTTCCCGCCCTCTTTATCTTCCAAGACTCGGAGAGCGGGTACGACCATGCGCAAGCTTTGGATGCGAGCCTTTAGGTTCGTGCGATATCGCCGCTTGATGGTGGTAAGGTTGGTTTAGGCTCGTGGGCCTGCCGTCGTTGGTTGTGCAGTTGTGTGAGTTGTTGCACTGGATCACTCGACAGAAGGTGTGAGGTTATGATTGATAGAGAGCTAGGGAGGAAGGAAGGACGATGTGGGTGGGGTCGATGGAGGAGGGGTTAACGCTATGGACGAAGAAGAGGAAGGACTGGAGACTTTGGTCGAGGTACGTCGTTGGAGGCGGGGAATGGGAAGCTTTTGGGACCTGTGGCTGTAAGAAAATAAGTAACGAACATCCAAAAAGGAAAACTAAGTCCAAGTCATACCAGGGAGGGCGTTCACACTGTGACCCTGGATTTGGGCATCTTTGGGATCCGCCAGCTGATTGTCGAACGCGGTGCGCAAGCGCTGCGGCGGAGTCCTCAGTGAAGGAGTGTGGTTCATCTCTGCAGACAGACTCTTGTTTAGTTTGAGGTTGGGAAGAATCACTTGTGTATTCCCACCGCTACACCTGACGAACTGGAGATAAAGAGGCTCCAGAGGACGAAGAGGAAGAAGTGAACCGGTGATACTCAACCTCCGCTCTTTATGAAAGAGTTCTGCCTCGGCAGAGGAGAATGCAGAGATATTCCCATTGAAAGCCGATTGGAAGGTGAAGGGAAACTGTGAAGCCAGAAATTCGTTCGACATGTTGTAAATTGATGGGTCGTCGTAACAGAGTTGTTCATGGGGTCATAATGGAGGGCGTAAAGTCGATAAGTTCTGAATACGACTTGATGCCGCCTGCGCTGTCATCGTCGTTACACGTGGCAGTGAGTTGGGACCAATCTGGAGGACTCCTCGCTTTGAGAGACGTTCTGTAGAAGGATATATAATGTGCGTAGATCATCCAGGCCATTAAGTCCTACAGCCAAGTAATAGCCTGCACAGGCGTTTGAAGGCGACCATTCCAATGCAAATCCAATGTATGTTGAAAGGCATGCAGGAGACCATTGCGTCGGTGATTGTTTTTAAATTTTTATATCCAGTCCTTGATGTCTCTGTCTTCCGATGCCTCCTTCCAGGTTCCTCGAGTGCTCCTTCCTATCAACGTAAAAATTTCAGTATTGATCTTAGAAACACAACTGTGCGAGAAGATAATACGCACTTGCATTCAAGTTATCATGATGGGCAATCCTCAAGAACGTGTTTGCGATTTCTTGCACTCATTTTCCATCTTCACTGGCACCAATCACCTGTCCTCAGCGCCTCTCTTGAGAGCGCGCTCTAATGACGCTTCGACATTGGTTTTAGAATGACGCCTGTGGAGTTGGTTGCGACTTAGAGCAGGAGGGACCAGGTCTCAAGAACAGATACTTCGTTGCGGCCATCCTTGAGATATAAAAGCTCTTGGTCTCTTCTCCTTCATTCTTCTCACTACTCTGGAGAGATTGCGGTACGGCGTCAACGTGAGCGTCTGTGCATTGCGTGATCCATTTCTGCACCACAAGGGATAGTTGCTCTTTGTTTCCCGCATGTCACATCCGGTTCCCCAGCACGAGCCCATTCAGTGAGTCTTGAACATCATCTCCCTTTTATGCTCAACTCATGGATGGGTAGCCTCGAATGCTTACTTGGTGAGCGCACTACTATGTCGACCTGGCACCCGAATCGCACCCCTACTTACAAAACTGATTTCAGCTCTTATCCTGACGCCTGTTCATAAGATCTCCCATGAATTGGAGAGCTCTAAAATTTATGTGAAGTTGGATCACGACCAAGATAGCGATAACCTGCTCGGCGGCGACCAAATGATTCAAGGCATATGGGAAAACCCGCTGGCCCATTGGGTTTGCAAAGGGATGATATCTGTGTAAGTGACATTGTTAGTTTTGAGCCATAAAACAATCTCATATCAGCATCTAGGACTGCCACTTCCTCTTATCCTCGAATTTTTGTCCATGGGGAAGACCAGAATGGCACGCTTAAACAGCTGGGATCCATCGATGTCCCAAAAGGCCAACTCCCTTTCGTGGCAAATCAGACAGCTGGTAACCCATTTGTGTCCCAATCACATGAATCTTTGATTGATTTTCGAACAGTTATTCGAGGTACCCTCAGGCTGGCCCTGCAAAGTGACCAGCGTCCCTCAATCAAAGTTTCTTACTACGTCTCACTCAATATTTTGGGTCTGAGCGACGATGGAACAATCGTTGCCTCAACCCCCATCACCAATTCCCCAGAATCCCAACCTTCTCAGACCAACCCAAAAATCCTCGCTGCTCAGGGTGATGAGTTGTTCAAACTCCACTTCACAGACCGCAACATTGCACATCTTACCAGCGCCAGGTCTTGTTACTTTGACGCAGTTCAATTTACCCCCGACAACGATCCGCGCCGTGGTGATCGTCTCAGCAAACTTGCCTACATATTACTCAACCTCTTCATATCTACTGGAGATGTTGGCCATCTTAACGAAGCGATACCAATTTTCAAGAATGCTGTCCGTTCAAGTCCTATGGGTCTATTCTCCAAACCGTTTCTTCTTAACTGTCAAGGGTTCGCGCTGTCAAGTCGCTACAAACGACTTGGATACCTTTGCGACCTGGTGCACGCGATTTTTGCTCACGGAAATGCCGTGCGGTTAACACTTGACAGTCATCTCAAAAACCCTCGGTGGCTAGAGGACCTTGCATGCAAGGGACTTGAAGTGAAGGAGGCAATCCCCATTTACATTACTACGGTTCGACTCACTCCTGACAACGACCCTTCCAAACCCCGTTTGCTCAATAAGTTGGGCCGCATGGCACTTTACCGTTTTTTGCTGGACGAAAGCGAGGTGAACATCAATTTGGTAGTCACAAGTCATCGAGCTGCGGTACATCTAACATCCGATGACGACCCACCTAAGGGTTCACGGCTCCATGACTTGGGACACGCGCTGATGGTTCGGTATAAGCAGTCGGGCAACCTGATCGACCTTAACGAGGCAATTACAGTGTATCAACATGCTTCGAGGCTTGCAGATGGCGCCCATCCAGTCAACTTCTTATGTCATATCGAATTGACGGATGTTCTCTTCTTGCGTTTCGAGCGTCTTGGTGAGCGAGACGACCTTGATCAATCCATCCACATTTTGAAGGATGTGCTGAGATCGATAGGTGACGACAGCTCGCGAAGGGCCATTTGCTTAAACCAGCTTGGTGTCGCGCTCGCTCAGCGTTACCAGTGTTCCGGGACCTCATCCGACCTCCATGAATCGTTCGTCTTTTTCAAGGAAGCTGTTTCACTGGCAGATACTGATACTCGCAAGGTCATGTACCTGATCAACCTCAGTAATTCGCAGCACTCTTTATTCAAGTGCCTTGACGATACCACTTCTCTTGACGAATCAATCTTGGCACTCACGAGTGCTGCTGAGATGCTCTCAGATGCGCATCGCATGAAAATTGGATGCCTCACCAACCTCGGAATTTTGCTCAAAGCTCGTTACGAGCGGTTCAATCACCTGGCTGATCTGGACCAGGCAATGGTCGTGGGGAAGCGGGCGATACAGCTTCTCCATGAGGGTCACAGAGACAGGCCAGGGTGTTTGGCCAGACTTGGATGGGCCTATCTGGCCCGCTTTGAGAGGTTTGGCAACATTGAGGATATTGATGAATCGATTTCCGCCCATAGAGAGGGAGTGAAAGTCTCCCTGCTGGGTGGTATCGATAGCCCGAAACATCTTTCTAATCTCGGAATTTCCTTCTTGATACGGTTCGAGCGGCTCGGAAATCCGATCGACCTCGACGAATCAGTTCATGCATGCGAAGAAGCGGTCCAGGCCACACTTGGGATGGATATCAACAAGTGTCATTACCTTGGGACCCTAGCCGACGCTCTCCTGTGTCGTTTTAAAAATTATGGCAATATTCTCGATCTAGATCGCTCGATCCAGCTACGAGAGGAGGTTGTACGTCTCACTCCGGAAAACCACCCCGAAAGGCCTCGCCACCTCAACAATCTTTGTGGTTCCATACGATCCCGCCTCAAATACCTGGGCAGTCTTCGTGATGCTGACAAGTCCATTGCATTGCAAAAAGAGGCTCTAGATTTGACGCCCGACGATCACCCTCACAAGTTAGTCTATCTTAGCAGCCTTGGGGGTTGCTTTCTCGACCGCTTTGAACACAGTGGTGATATTCCTGACATCGATCAATCTGTTTCACTTAGAAAAGAGGCGGTACATTTGTCACAAAATGGGCATCCAGACAAACCAAGATTATTCGACAACTTGGGAAACTCTTTATTCATTCGCTACAATCGTCTCAAGGATATCAACGACTTGGAAGGATCAGTAAAGGCGTATGAAGCTGCAGTCTCCTTAATTCCGAATGACCATGCCGGAAAACCTGGTTATTTGGGCAACTTCGCCTGTTCTTTAAAGGTTCTCTTCAATGTCAAAGGTGACATGATTGACCTGAACAGGTCAATCTCGCTACACGAAGAGGCTATTAAACTGACCGAGGAAACCCACCCTTACAAACCAGAACTTTTAAGCAACCTGGGCGGCGCACTGCTATCTCGCTTCTGGCGCCTTAAAGATCGTCTAGATATCGATAAAGGTATCTCAACCTGTCGAGAATCTATTCAATTCACGCCGAACAAGGCGTCTTACCTTCATAATCTTGCACAGGCTTTATTGAATCGATTTCAGTCATACGGTGACATTGCCGATCTTGACGAGTCTATTTCTTTCCGCCAAACCTCAGTGGCAATGACTCCTGATACTCACCCTGCAAAAACACAATATCTGTTCGACCTTGGCCATTCTTTCTACACCCGATACCAAGCTACCGGTAGGAAAAGTGATCTGAATGATGCCATTCATCTATGTTCTCAAGCAGCGAATTTGACTACTGGTGCTCCATCTCTGAGATTCGGCGCTGCACAGCATTGGGTGGGATTCAGCTATCTAATTGACTGCCCTCCTCCCCTTGAGGCATATCGCGGCATGATGGATCTCTTGCCGCTGGTGGCTTGGCTCGGACTTGGAGTTCTCGACCGATATAGAGAACTTACAAAAGTAGGTGCCGAAGTCCGTGATGCTGCTGCTTTTGCGATTGATACTGGAGATTACGACCAAGCTTTAGAATGGTTGGAGGAGGGTCGCTCCATCGTCTGGGGTCAGATGCTACAGCTGCGCACCCCTATTCATGAGCTCCGAGATAAAGCTCCAGATCTGGCCGCCCAATTTGAGAAACTCTCAAAAGAGATGGAATCAATGGGGACAAACACCATACAACTGGCGGGCGATGACCGCGGTTCTCGATCATCGTTTGAAACTCTTCCCGAACGGCGTAGACAATTGACCACTGAATGGGAAACACTAGTGCGGAACATTCGTAAGGTGGATGGCATGAATGGATTTCTCTTGCCGAAGCGGGTTTCTCAACTCGCTGAAGCTGCGGGTTCTGGACCTGTTGTCGTTTTGAATGCCAGCAAACATCGTTGCGATGCTTTGATTCTCAAATCCAACTTTGATAAAGCCATGCATATTCCTCTTCATCCCTTCACGTTTGAGCGCGCACAAGCACTCCAACACAAATTAATGCTAATGCGCTCCAAGGTCGGTGTCCGCCAGGATGATGAACGTGCAGGACGTGTTGCCCCTGCACAAAGCTTGAGCTCAGATTTTCCAAGGTTGCTTTCAGAACTTTGGGATGAGGTTGTTATGCCGGTTTTACAGGCTCTTGATATTCCAGTAAGTGTCTCATACACGCAATCCTCACCCCATTCCCCTCATTCCATCCCGTAGATCAGAGCCACTTCCAATCCTTCAAGGATCTGGTGGTGTGGGACGGGCCCCTTCGCTTTCCTCCCCATTCACGCCGCTGGCTCGTATGATTTGGGTTCAACGGCGAACTCAGAACCTCTCATACAACTTTCGGACATAGTCGTTTCATCATACACGCCTTCAGTAACGGCTCTTCTGAAACCTCATAGAGAACAACCTTCTAACAAATTTAAACTCCTTGCTATTGCTCAGCCCTCCACGCCTGGGCAACCTCATTTGCCCAATACGACATGGGAGCTAGCGGAAATTCGAAAGCATCTCGGCTCTCATTCAATGGTGGAGCTCGAAGGGGCAGATGCCACTATTGAACGGGTCATTGAGAGTCTCTCTCAATGTGGTTGGGTTCATCTTGCTTGCCACGGCTCACAGAACCGTTCCGACCCCACAAAGAGCGCCCTCATGCTCGAGGATGGACACTTGGAAATTGGGAGGATTACTAGGAGCGTATTACCTGGCACCGCAGACTTTGCGTTCCTCTCTGCTTGTCAGACAGCGAGTGGAGACGAGACTCTTCCAGAGGAGGTTGTTCATTTGGCTGCTGGTATGCTTTTCGCGGGATATCGCAGCGTGATTGCAACAATGTGGTCGATTCGGGACAAGGATGCGCCTGTGGTTGCGGATGAAGTCTACCGTCACCTATTATCAGTCGAACCACCGGACTCCACCGAAGCTGCCAGAGCGCTTCACTATGCAGTGGCACGTCTACGTAGGGAATCCCCAGAAATACCCTTCTCATCTTGGGTTCCTTTCATTCATATTGGCCATTAACAGAGTTCACAACCCGGTCCAGCTCCCCCTTCCTCAGTTCTGTGGTGAGATGGTGATGTTATTGGTACGTACATGTGAAGAATGTGTCAGATGATAATAAATATGTCATTCCATCGAACTTAACCTTCATATCATGTCGCTTGCAAAGCATCCCTGTGCCATGAGGAGTGGGGCCAGTTTTTGAGGCGAGTCGGTGGTGGTCCTTGGTGACCTCAGCGCAATCTAGAGAAGACGTACAAGTTCAGATTGATGAAAAATCTGTGACCCGTTCGCGTTATCATCCACATACCCTCTGGAAGCGTATCAGAACACCGCAGGTTCTCTCGTCTGCTGGAAGTTCTCCAAATGCTCGGGGAACGCCATTACGGAGTTTCAGCGAGGTCCATAACTATCTGGATGCCAGTGGTTGCGCATCGGTATCGTTTCGTTAGTGTCTCTCTATCTTGCGGGCGATTTTCCTCCCTAGCGTCGAGACATCGAGTAAGCTACTTATGCAATCAGCCAAATTCCGAATTCGATCCAGAGCTGAGAGGTGAACTTGACTGCCTTCAAATATGTGGTTTGTCTTGATCATGTGTTATGAACATGCAGAGCGTTGAATGCGTCTAACAATGATCGTGTCATGTCAAAACTTGTAAGATGTTTAGAATTTTCAAAAGCTACATCCCCTAGTCCATACAAAATGGCTTATGTAGTACGTACAGAACTGGTAATTAGTAGTAATGAGGTAAAAGATCATCGAAAGTAAATAAATGTTAGAACAAGACAATTCCAAAGAGCCGTTCGAGATATCGAAGCGGACGATAAATTAAAGGAAGAAAGAGGGAAGAAGAAGAGAGAGCCAAGCGCAAGCCCAACCATCTAAAGAGCCGCCGACGCACCCCGACTACTCCTCTCCATCTCAACAATAAGATCAACAACCCTATCACGCGCGTCCTCCAGCCTCCCTCCTTCCTCCCCTTCTCCCTCCGCCCCGTCCTCTGCATTCTCAAACACCCTACTCCCAAGCGCCTGCCGAAGCGCATGAACCATCCTAGTGCCCTTACTCCCCGATCTCAACGTCGGGCTTGGAGGAGGACTCAACAAAGCCGACGAACACCCCGCCAGGTGTAATGGATCCGAGAACACACGGCGGTGTAAGACAAGCGCGGAAAGTAACGCGTTGATCTGGGCGTCCACGCTATCTTGTGCCTGTGAAACGTCGACGTCTTTGTCGAGGTTGAGGTTGATGTGGTCAAGAGCAGCCCCAGGTGTCTTCCACACTTTCTCCAACACCCTCCCCAGCTCCTCAACCTGCCCACCAAGTTCACGAGCAGCGTCAATAGTCCGCCTCATCTCACCTTGCTTCCGTTTCACAGATTCCTTGTCGTTGTATTTCTCCGATTGACTTCCATAGACAGAGTCGACGAAGAGTTCCCCAAGATGCTGCTTAACACGCTGTTTGACGAGCAAACACCCAAGCACCTCAATAGGCTTATACGTCCTCCCCGCATCACCCTTCTTCTCCCGCTCTGAAGCTTCGGAAAGCCGTTCAACGGCCTCTGTTACGTCCATAGACTCCAGAACGAGAACCTCGAATGCCAGTGCTTGTTTCTTGGTACTGTGGCCTGTCAGAACGGGAGACAAAGCATGTGCCTTGGCAGAGTCCCATAAAGAACGCGCCTTCGCTCGAGCGAGACCGCCAGGAATGCCGGATGCGCCATAGACGAGCATGGCAAGCGAGCTGATGGAGGCCATGGATGATGACGGTTGGAGAGAAATAGCGCGGTAGACTTTCCAGCGGGTGTATAATGACACCGATGGCGAATTTCCTGAGGATCAAAACGTTAGTACATGTTAGGGCAAGTGAGAATAAATGGAAAGCAATTACCTGCCAAGATACACTCATCACCTACACTAATCCAATCAACCACCTCCTCTTTCCTCCGTTGTTTCTTCGCGCCAACATTAGTAGGTGTAAAAGAAACACTACGACTCCTCCCCATCCCCAACGTTATGCCCGCCCAACTGAGCACAAAACTCGCCAAAACGACGATAGACACAAAAAGATGGAACATCTGCACGTATTCCTTCCAACCCCATCCATCTGCACCGGGAACAACAGGCGATGACGAGGGGGCAGCGAACTGGGATATAATCTCGGGGGCGTAGGCTAGTGGAGGATGTAGCGAGGTCAACACCGTCCCTGTATGTTGATGATGACCTGACGCGCGAGATGAGGACGAGGTAAGTGGGGAGTTGAAGAAGGAGAAGAGGGCAAAGACGGCGAGGAGGTATTGTTGTGGTTGTGATTGTTGTTGCTGTTGGTGTACTTGTATCCACTGTTCCTGGGACGAGAGCATCGTCTGGTCTTGTGGTTGGGTTTGGGGCAGGGGTGCCAATGGAGAGACGACTGTAGCCGCAGTAGCAGGAGGGGGAACGGCCTTCCTCGGTCTACCGCGTTTCCTCTTCTCAGGGACACCCGAATCACCACCCGTAGCAGGCGTCGAAGCTTTCCTCTCAGCCACCGCTTTCTTCGGTACGCCAGGGAATTTAGGTCGTTTACGCTTCCTTCCAAGCTCTTCGTCCCCTTCGTCCCCATCCTCCTCATCACTCTCCTCATCATCACCCTCGATATCATCGCCCTCTACTTCATCCTTCTCTTCTCCGCCAAAACGCTGCCTCCACTCGCGCTCCCATTCCTTCAAAAGGGCAGGGCCCCCAACAAGGCCAGCTACAAGAGTCTTCAATCCCGCTTGCTCGGCTTTCAGTCTGTTCTCCCTCTTTTTCAAGACTCGGATGTATTCGACGGCTTTCCCAAGGACGTTGGCTTTGCTGCACTTGCGTGCAACCTTGACACCGTCTACGAACCCTCGCTCGTCAATCACATCGATGACCGTACCGTCCTCGCTGTCGGGAATATTGATCCCAGAGCCTTTCACAAAAACGCCACCTTTGACGTTCTTCTTGATCTTCTTGCCGTTTCCGCCCTCTTTATCTTCCAAGACTCGAAGAGCGGGTACAGCCATGCGCAAGCTTTGTATACGAGCATTTAGGTTCGTGCGATATCGGCGCTCGATGGTGGTGTGGCTGGTTTTGGGACGTGGGCCTACCATAGTTGGTTGTGCAGTTGTGGGGGTTGTGGCAGTGGATGACTCGACGGAAGGAGTAAGGTTAGGATTGATAGAGAGCTTGGGAGGAAGGAAGGACGATGTGGGTGGGGTTGATGGAGGAGGGGTTGACGCTGCGGATGAAGAAGAGGAAGGACTGGAGGCTTTGGTTGAGGGACGTCGTTGGAGGCGGGGAATGGGAAGCTTTTGGGAAGGACATGTAGCTGTAAAAAGTAAGTAACCAAAATCAAAGAAGGATGAGTAGGTCGTACTTGGGAGACCAGCTTGGGTGTTCATACTGTGGCTCTGGATTTGGGCATCTTTGGGGACGGCAAGTAGCACGCCAGCTGATTGTCGAACGCGATGCGCAAGCTCTGCGGCGGGGTCCTCATTAAAGGAGAGTGGTTCATCTCCGCAAACAGACTCTTGTTTGGTTTGGGGTTGGGAAGAATCACTTGTGTATCCCAGCACTAGACTTGACGTTGATTCAGGAACAGGCGATAAGGAGGCTCCAGAGGACGAAGACGAAGAGGTAATGCTCAACCTCCGCTCTTTATGAAAAAGTTCCGGCGATGCAGAGGAGGAAGCAGAGGATATATTTCCATCGAAAGCCGATTGGAAGGTAAAAGGGAACTGTGAAGCCAGAAATTCGTTCGACATGTTGTAAACGGATGGGTCGTCGTAACAGAGTTGTTGATTGAATTTCATAGGATCATAATGGAGGGCGCTGGGTTCAATAACCATAGACTGGTTGAAATCTATGTCCATAGGCAGCGATGTAAGGTCTGAAAAGTCCAAAAGTTCTGAGTACGACTTAATGCCGCCTGCGCCCTCATTATCGTTCCACATAGAAGTGAGTTGGGACCAGTCTGGAGGACTCCCGCCTTCGCTTTGAGATGAAGATGATTCGTCCATGGAAGAGTCCCCGCTCTGAGAGTTGTTATGTAGAAGGAGGTTGAGAGGGTCTGATGGGTCGAGCCCAAGGTCGGAGCTCATCATAGGTGGCGAGTAATGCTGCGCGGGGGGAATTTAAATCAATACAGCGACAGAGACTGAGGAACGTCGTATGCAGCGTCAAGGTGGTGGAGGGAGAAAGACAAGAAATGCTGCAGTGCTTGACAAAATCAAGCACAGCGTGATCGAACGATTCTGAAATCAGACCACATTTATCGTCACGTGCACGTATCTGATAAGATGACGCCTCCTTCCCAGTGAGTGAGGTTGGGATCGTCTTACGATCCGCGCAAAAGGGAACACCATTTTACTTCTTTAACAAAATCTCGTCTGTCGCATTCTCAAACCGAGCTGGGGAATCGAACCCCCACTCGTCCAAACTCGGTTGTGCACGAGAGATCCATGTGAATGTGTTCCAATCCACTATAACGGCATACCGTGTACAGTGACGTAGAGTTTCATATTAGCCCAATACACTTCGACGACAGCCGGACACATAGATACTAGAAAGCACATCGTGCGCGTAGAGTACATATGGAGAATCCGTTGCGCATGGATAAAATTTGTTCACATTTGTATATCAAGTACTTGATGCTTTTATTGGATAACTATGAGTAATGACATGTAAAAATGCTACAATATGAACTAGCTAGTAAGTATAACAATGCCGAGGAAGAAAGCTTGCATGCGATACCGGGTCCTTTCCAATACCCTCCATTTTTCTCTAACAAACCCAGATCAACCATAGTTAAGTCCACCAGCCCCACCCCCATTCCCATTCGGCTCCCCCCTCTTATTATCCTGCGGTCCAGATCCTCTTGGTCCTCCACGAACCTCCGAAGCTCCAAGCGGTGCTGGCGGTCGAGGCGGAAGATTAGGATTCGAATGTCGAGGCAACAGTGCACCCGGACCACGGGATTCCCAATCCCTTCGGCCAGGTCCAGGTCCCGGTCCTCCTCCACCTTGATGCCCTGGTCGTCCTTGACCCTGCCCCTGTTACCGGGGAGGATAAGGCCCAGAAGGCCCTCCAGGTGGACCGCGGCCATAAGGGGGTCCATATTGATGCTGACCTGGAGGAGGGCCAGGTCGATGTGGACCTTGGAAATTATGTGGGCCACGGGGATTCGGGTGGAGTCCGTTGGGCTGGGAGTTGGGGCCACGGGGATTCGGGTGGGGTCCGTTGGGTGGAGGGGGATTCGGGTGGTAACCGCCGTTATGGGGCGGTGGGCCAGAGTTAAACATGTCCCGAGGAGGGCCTCCTCCACGATGATTTCGAGGATGTTGACCCATTGGGGGTGGTTGGTTGGACGGTCTAAGGTGTCCATCATGGTGGTGTGGTTGTGCAGGTGGTCCGCCAGGCATGGGATGCATATTGCGGTGTCCCCGTTTATCGTATTCGTGCGAGGCTTCGTAGGAGGGGAGGCTGAAGAAACAATCATATATTTAGTTGATTTGGCAAATATATATTATGGTGCTCACGTCTTTGGATCGGCAGGGAGAGGGTCAGTCCAGAAATAATCATGGTCGAGTGCTGAGACGCCGTGATGCGTTCCCGTGGATTACAGATTAGGAGTTTATCCAACAGATCTGCAGTCTCTAGTCCCACACTGATATGGCATCAGCAACGGTGTGGACTCGAGGACCGAATCACGAACCTCTCATATGCGTTTTTGACTCTTCTTTGATACGTATAGAAACGCTTTACTCCTTCGCAGCCAGGCAAGGCGTCATAATTCGCCCAACTGTGCTGATTCGGAGTACCGCATAACTTCCATATCTTCTCGAGTTGGTCAAGGTCCGAGGTCCCGGGCAAGATTGGCTTGCGCGTAAACATTTCACCCAAGACACAGCTAAGAACCCAGCGTCAGATATGAAAATGCCACCACACAAGGTAAGGTGACAAACCCAATACCCCAAATATCCACCTCTCCGCCGTACTGCCTAGCTCCGAGAAGAAGCTCAGGGGGTCTGTACCATCTCGTTACAACACAATTGGTATACTTGCGCTCCTTGCCTCGACTATCTACACGAGAATTTATCACGTTGGCGTCAAACGATCGTGCAAGACCGAAATCTGCAATTCGCAATGAACCAGAATTGGAGATCAGCAAGTTGGCTGCCTTCATATCACGATGGAGGATATGGTTCTGGACAAATAAAGTCAATCATCAAGGTACAGTTGCACATCAAGAAGGCTCACTCGATGCATATATTCAGTCCCTTCTAGTAATTGTTTCATGTACAATTTGATGTGGCTTGGTTGCAGTTTAACCCGTTCATTTTCGAGGAGACCAGCAAGATCGTGGTCCATATAAGGAAAGACCATGTAAACCGACAGCGGATCCTTCTCGCTGCCTTTGCAACGATGAGCATCAGCTGTTCCGCTGGAGAGCCATACTCACTTCGAACAACGAACATATCCAGAATTTCAACGATACAAGGATGTTTCAGTGCCTTGAGGATTTTAATTTCCCGGAGAGCAGTCACAGGCATGCCTTCCTTTTCGTGATGCATAAGAATCCGTTTCAGAGCGACTGAGGCCCCTGTGGTCTTGTGAATTGCTTTATGAACCTCGCTGGAGTTTGTTTGGAAGCTGCACCCAGAACAAAAAATGTCTTCAGAACATACCCAAACGTCCCTTCTCCCAATTTCGACATGACCTCATAATCAGATTGTATCCCACAACCTGTGAATGTCCGTCCATACGCTTCAGCTTCTTCTTTTCTCGATCGTGTCACAGGCTCTCGTTTCCGAACAGCCCGCACTTGGGGTGGTTCAAGTGCCTTCTTCCCTTGGTCCTTGACCGATTCCTTGGGTTTAGGAGGTAGCCCAAGGGATAAAGGTGAATGAATATTCCGTGGTGCTGGGGGACGGCTGATTGTGATAGACACATGTGGATGTGTAGATGGGAGTCTTGAGTCTTTTGAGAGACGAGCATCTGGTGGGGGGGCTGGAGGAGGAGAGGAAGAAGGAGGCCGTGGGCCGGCCGCTGAAGGAGGACGAGGAGGCAAAGGGGCGGGTGAAGGAGGACGAGAAGGTGATTGGGCTGGCGGTGGCGGGGGTTGTGAAACAACAGCTTCTGGCTGTGGTGATTGAGGCCTGTAGCTGTCCATTCCGCGAGGGCGGTCGTACGGTCGATCATAATGGCGTCTATCTGTCTCGTAGCCGTCATCTCTACGTGTCCAGTCGCGGTGGTCTCTGTGCTGCGGCTGCGGCCTGTAATATCGGTCAGAGTCGCCCTCATTGCGCCTGTTATATTTCCAAGGATCGTCTTCATCACGATATCCCCGGTGGCCTCTATCTCTATCCCATTCTGATCTGTCCCTCGATCGTTCGCGTCTGTCTAAATCGTAGTTGCGTGAAGGGGGGCTAAAATTGGCCTCAGGGGTGCGAGGAGTTCTGGGAGCAGGTAACCTATGTTTTTCGCGGCGAGAATTCAAAGGAGAGACAGATGAGCGCGAACGGGTTGGGGTAAAGCTTGATGGCGACCTATGTCCACGACGGTCTCGGCTTCTAGAATGACGGTGTCTCCGCGACCCCTGCTGTCTGTCTTCATACCCACGGCTTGGCTCCCAGTGGTCAGCAGCCTTAGATGAACGACCTGGCCTCGTGTCTGGAGCCCACGTCAATTTATGAACGTCGTTCGCGGCTGAAGGTGATTTATCCAAGCTTGACCCATTCCCATTCCTCGGTGGCTCGTTCTTCTTCTTAAATGGAAACGGTATCTTCGCTTTTCCAACGGAAGGTTTTGGAGGTAGAGAAGGTGGAGGCGCTGTGGGTGCTACGAATGGTGTTGAAGTGTCATCGAGCTCGCCCTCCTCTGGTGATGAGGTTAATAGTCGCTTAGGACGTCTGTCACCTTCTGGAGACCTTGAGGCATTTCGCTTTCTTGGTGATCGGCCCATGGAAGAGCGGCTGTAGGCACCGTGCTCAAGGTTCGAGAGGAGGTTCACAGCAAAGACGATTTTGCTGACATAATAATAATCAAAAACCTCCTCGGAAAAATGGCAACACCCGTCTGACGGTCCATTGTACACACGGATTGATAAGTCATATTCTCCTCGCGCTAACCCAAACCAAAGCTAAAACCTGGCAGAAGACCACAAGTATGTGAGAAGGCGAGTACATCTAAGCAACCAAGCATGCATGCCACCAAAGAACGTGCGCTATGTGCCTAAGTAGCAGTTTGAAACAATGCTGGTGATCCTTACCTCGGCAGAAATCCGACATTGTGGTCTGGAATGTCTGCCTTTGTTGACAGAAACGCCACTCACCAACAACGGAGAACAGTCCCAATATATGATCCTCAACTTGAAGTACTGTGGTGGCCGCCGCTACAAAAATATTTGATAACGCTCTTGATAAAACACGTAGAGGTCCCTCTCCTGATCCGCAGACATGACGTCTCCGACGGCTTGCGAACCTGGGTAAAAATACACAAAGACGTCCCATGGTTGCGAACGCAGCCAAACACCAAATGAGGGAGGTTAATCTGAGTAGTAATGTCGAGGTCAATTTCCAGATAGTCATCTGTCAAAACGTATCCAAAACTACCACATGTGAATAGAAGAAATCCTTTCACCACAAGTATGGAATACAAAGACCTGAGTATCCTTTGTGTAGGCTGCGTAAGCCATGCACATCGCCTGTTTACCATCAATCAAAGAGTATATGAGGAGTTTAATGATTACTTACCCATCTGGCGAAAGGATCAGGGGCTCAGACACACGAGAGTCGCCATGAAAAAGACTTGAGTCCTGAAAAATGGTGCTCAAAGTATTCTGAACAATCCAGAGTTGGTGCTTGAAGCGAGCGGTGATTCATTTCTGAGTCGAACAAAGTGATTGAGGGTTACTTGGAGTGTAAAACTGTAGAAGGGCCGTCTTCGACCTGGGAGAGACCCAAGCTACCCTAGAAGCCGTTCAAGCAGCTCTTAGAGACATGGAGCAGGAGCTCAAATTCAAATTCACCACAGACGGCCCACCTATGGGCGTCACCAGCATTCTGATTGGGCAAAATATAATCAAAGAATCTTGGGAGCTCGAGCTGGAACGACGCACCTGGCTTGTCGTCTGGAAGAAATTAGAACTCCGATCCAAAAAGTTCCTTTCTTGCTCACTCCGTAGTCCGTACACAGTCCATGATAATTTCATCTTCAGACTTACCCCCAGGTATCGAGGGGAAGTTTATCCGTTCCATAGCGGATGGCGACAACGATTGGATGGCATTCTCGAAGATAAAACGTTATACGAACGCGTTCATAGTGGACAAGGACAACGTGAGTTTGGAGCGCGTTAGGCGTCACGAACAAGGAGACGCCTTGTGATCGATCCTTGACGGTGACACAAAGGTGCTCTTAGGTTTGAAAAAGAGAGGGTTTGGGAAAGATAAGTAAGTATCATTTTCTAAAATTCAGGCTCGGAATTGATGTTGAACTTCTTGGTGTGTAGGTATAACGGTTTTGGTACATGGCAGTTCCAGGCACCGATATCGTGTCAATTATTCATGTGCTCTCTAGGTGGCAAAGTCGAAGAGGGAGAGACGCCTCTTCAAGCCGCCAATCGCGAGTTAAACGTGAGTTTCAGAAAACTTGTCTCCCGGTTTTTTGATATTGACATGTAGGCGGTCTAGGAAGAGGCTGGAATCGAAGCCCCCTTGAAGCATGCAGGAACTTTTCTTTTTCTAAGCGAGGATGTAGACTGGGCATTCCATATCGACATCTATCGCGCAGATAGCTACACGGGAACAATTACCGAGTAAGATTTTTTTCTTGACATATCTTTTACCTCGCTAACGTGTCGCAGAACTGATGAAATGAAACCGGAGTGGTTCTCAATAGCATCTGAAAATCATCATGCCCCGTTGGACTCTCCGTCCTTCTATTCTCATCTTCCATTCGATAGGATGTGGGAAGCAGATCGATACTGGCTGCCCCTGCTTCTTTCTGGGCACCCATTTTCTGGAAGGGCTGACTTTGTCAAAGTCGGGGAATCATCCAAACCTCGAAGATGGTGGTTTGGAGTCCTAAGTACCAACCCATGATTCTGGATGTAGTCTCGGCTTCTTTAGAAAGAAGAGAACATTTTTGGCACTATAGTTGATACGCTGGTCAGCGGAATGGTTGTTCAGCTGGATACCACTGGCACAGTTCTATTCTATACTGTTCAGGAGTTATACCACGTGTTGACCGAGTCTCACATGTATCGACGTCGTCGAGGCCAAGAGACTTTTCTCATAGCCTTTCAATATTTCAATGCCAGCACACCGTTCTTCCTACGTGAATCCCGATAACTCGCCCCAGATACTGTTACAACAGGTGTCAGTCGTCGGTGCTCGAAGGTTCGTCTATTTCGTACCTTCCTTCTATTGCAACAGGACGAAAGCTACAGCATTTCTCATTGAAACCTTCCACGTCGACTATACTTCCATTAATCACTTGTCTGACCACTCTCCATCTGTGAAGTCCGCCACTGCGATTCTCTCCACGACCAACAGGGGCCCAACTAGCTTCTTGAACGCCGTATGAGCTGGATCGGCATACTCTGGGTCTAATCCGACATAGTAGTCTCGATGTTCCGGCGAGGCAAAGGTGACGACGTAAACATGCTACGATTGCATTGTCAACAGCGATCGAAACACATGGCTTGATCTTGGACTCACTTCGTAACCCGCTGCTTTTGGTTCTAAAGAGTTGTTGCTACCTCCGATGATGCTCACGATGTATGGCTTTCCGGGAGACGCGAAGCCTGGGTTTGCTGGTGATAGACATCTCTCCTGCAATGCAAGGAAGGAAGACGCGACGTTTTGTTTCTCCTCAACGGTCGTGGAGCTTTTGTATTGGAAAATAACAACGTGAGTCACTGGCGCCATTGTGGACGGTTGTAGAGCGACCAATCCAACGATCTTCACAGATATAACATCCCTTCCCGCGTCACAGCTTTCCACAAACACTTGTTCATCACTGACAGGTATTTTGGATCTCTAATCGATGATCTACAAAGCGTTGTGAAGGCAACGCAGAACTGACATTTCCGATCCGCTGACATCACGAGATATTTTGTAGGGCTGAAGGTCAAGGCGAAAATCATATTCAGAGCCATAGTTGGAGGACAACGCTCGTCTGAATGCCGATTTTAATATTTTCGCATCGTTGCAACTCAGAGGAGCGCTCCTGCGTTGTACCTGGTTGGGTGAAGGTGGGTGCCAATCAGGTCTATCTTTGGATCAGGCTGACAATTATACTAGCGAATGTATACTTATGTTCTCATCGAAGCCCTTACATCTTACCACGCGGTTAGCAGTCTTATCTTTGGGGTAGGAACCGCATAAATCATGGGCGGGTTACGGCATCATGAGATGTATTCTCTCTCACCTTACACAATGCGGGCTGATTGACCTTGGACGCTCAAGAGATATCTGTAGGTCCCTCGAGAGATTGCATTCATCTTAAATGGCGATTGGCAGAAAGCGAAGGTACTGATGTGCGGGATGCCAGACAGGTAGTTGAAACCCACGGCATGACAGCAATGGCGCCTAACCATTGATGTTCCATTGAATGGCAATCTAGGGTGATAGACCTGGTCTAGCCTGAATAGCTCTCGTTTGAGCGATCTCAGGCGAGATGAGGCAGCGCTCACACTGCGGCTAGGGTTTGACAATGTAAGTTTGGCTGACTGAGTCATCCCGCGTTGCGCTGCCCCACCGGCGCTCATGTGAAAAACGACATCTTTCTTCCTACCACCACCCCAACTGCAGTTTGCTTCCACCACAATGTCAACATTAGCTGGGGCCCGCAACGCTGTTGTGAGGAATTCAACTTTCAATGACCACTCTACGAACAGTCTGTAATACCCTCCCCTCTCAGGGGCCTGCATTGCTAACTTTCATCTCATCCGTAGTCCACCACCACATCCACATGATCGGGATGGATGGTGCGTAAACCCTCGGAGCCTCCGTCGATCGAGACTTTGCTGATAAATTATGACTAGATTTTGAGTTGCTAGACAAAAAGCTTCCTCGCGCCCACCGTGCTCATTACAATGCTAACTCACCCGCGCAGCGAAACGGTTGTCTCGAGAATACGCGCGAGGCGATCTTGGCTGAACTTGTCACCTGGGCAGGTGACCACATGTCAAACAAGATTTATTGGCTTAGCGGAATGGCTGGGACTGGCAAGACTACCATTGCGTACTCGTTCTGTGAGATCCTCAGTTCTAAGCGCATGCTTGCTGCAAACTTCTTTTGCTCCCGTCTTGAGGCTGAAAGCAGCAATGTCGTCCACATCTTTCCCACTATTGCTCATCAGCTTGCTCGTCGCTTTCCTGTTGTATCTTCTGCGCTGGTAGCCACGATCCGAGATGACCCTGATGTTGGCTATAAGATAGTTCAGCAAAACTTTAAGGACCTCATTGTTCAGCCACTCAGAGCTGCTGCTGCTGATTTTGAGGGGACATCCTTTGTTGTGGTTATTGATGCTCTGGATGAGTGTACCAGCCAATCTCAGGTTGCTGATTTGCTTCTGGCTATTGCGAGACATGCTTCTTCACTTCCCCTGAAGTTTTTTGTAACTAGTCGTCCTGAGAAGGACATTCGTAAGACTTTCAAGCGACGTGGCTTTGGGGACTTCGACAACTTTATTCTTCATGATGTTGAGAGAGATGTTGTCAGCTCAGACATTGAGCTTTACACTAGATATCGCCTCACTGACATTGCAGATGGACGTAGTGACTTGATGGATGATGATGAATGGCCTCCGGAATCTCAGGTTAAAGCTCTTGTTACTCTATCTGGAAGCTTGTTTATTTATGCTGCAACTGCATGCAGTCATATTGCTGCTGGAGTTGATCTTCGTGCTCGTCTTACTATGATAACTGATACCTTATCTGGAACAACAAAGGATGGAACCATATCACTGGATGCTTTGTACAGCAGCATTCTGGCTGCAGCATATAAAAATGCTAACCAAATGGAGAGAGAGGAAATTCAGAAGGTTCTCTATGCTGTTATTCATGCTCTGGATCCATTGTCCATCAACAGTCTCAGTCAATTGTTAAGGATGACTACTGGAGAAATTCAGTCTGCTTTGTCCTGTCTCCACTCTTTGATCTGTGTTCCACGTAACAAAGATCTGAATGACCCAATTACAACATTCCATTCCTCATTTCCTGATTTTGTAAATGATCATTCTCGCTCTGGAGATTATCACCTTGACCCTACTACATCACATCAATTACTTTCTTTGGATTGCCTTGAATTAATGGAAGGCTCCTTTCAGTCCAAGGAAATTGTTTCTTACCTCAGAGAGAGGAATCAGACTGATATTCCTCAGAGTCTCTCATATGCTGCTACTTTCTGGGCTTCTCATCTTGCAAGTAGTCAAGAAAGGGATGACAAGACTCCAGTGTTTTATATCCTCTCCTATAAGTTCTTCCAAACAAGAGCTTCACAGTGGATTGACTGCTCAAGTATAATTGGGCAGGTAGAGAGGACTGTGAATGACCTTCGGGAGATAGAGAAATGGGCTGAGGTAAGTCTATATTACTCTTTTTTAGGAGTTGACTGCTGATTTATTGAATCTAGTCCCAGCCATTATTGAATGACTGGGCAAGAGATGTTAGACGATTCATGACAGAAAATATGGAATTTATAAGCTCTCAGAGTCTTGAAGGTTACTCTGCTCCTTTTCTATGGCTACCAGAGAAATCATACATGAAGCAAAAATATGAGTCTGAAAGACCTTCTCCATGGAAGTTAATTCTAGGGCAACGGCACACCTGGGATGCCTGTGAAGCCATCTTGACAGGGCACTCAGCACCTGTAGTCTCTGTTGCCTACTCACCTGATGGCAAACACATTGTTTCTGGTGCAAGAGACAACATAATTCGCTTATGGAATGCTGTAACAGGGGAACCTGAGGCAGAACTGACTGGACATTCTAGCTGGGTCACATCTGTTGCTTTTTCTCCTGATGGGGCTCATATAGCCTCAGCATCAGGTGATAGAACTATTTGTAGTTGGAACCCTGAAACAGGGGAGTTTGAGTCACAGTTAAAAGTTCATCCAACATTTGTGAGGTCTGTAAGTTTCTCCCCTGATGGAAGACATGGTGTTTCTGGGTTAAATGAAAATTCAATCTGTATCTGGAATACTGTAACAGCAGAGTCTGAGGTAGAACTCAAAGGCCATTCTAACTGGGTAGAATCTGTGGCTTTTTCTTCCAATGGAAAATATGTAGTGTCTGGTTCTCATGATCACACTGTACGAGTCTGGAATTCTGTAACAGGATATCCTGAAGCAAACTTAAAAGGGCATTCAAGCTGGGTAGTGTCTGTTGCATTCTCACCTGATGGGAACCACATTGTGTCTGGGTCCTCTGACAACAGTATCCGGATTTGGAATGCCACAACCTGGGAGACTGAAGCAGAATTGAAGGGACACTCAAATGGAGTCAATTCAGTTGCATACTCCTCAGATGGGAGACGCATAGTATCTGCTTCAGATGATAGCACAGTTTGTCTATGGAATGCCCTTACAGGAGAGCTTGAGGCAACACTAAGGGGTCATGCAAGCTGGGTAGCTTCAGCTGTCTTCTCTCCAAATGGAGCACATGTGACATCAACTTCTGGAGATAAAACTGTACGGATCTGGAATTCTTTGCCAGAAGAATCTGATATAATTTTGAAGGGTCACTCAACTTATATCAGATCAGTTGCTTTCTCCTTAAATGGGACTTACATAGTGTCTGGGTCAGATGACTGCAAAATTTACATCTGGAATATAGCATCAAGCAGTCCAGAGGCACAGTTAATTGGCCATTCAAGTTCAGTAATAACTGTTGCCTTTTCTCCAGATGGTACCCATGTCATATCTGGATCAAGTGATAATATTGTTTGCATTTGGAATGTTGCAACTAGAAAGGCTGTGATGGAGCTATATGGTCATTTGAACTATGTAAGAGCTGTTGCTTGTTCTCCTGATGGAAAGCTTGTAGCATCAGGATCTCATGACAATACAATCAGAATATGGGATGCAGAAACAGGGACACTCAATGCTGTTTTGACTGGACATAGTGCAGCTGTAACAGGCCTTGCTTTTTCTTCTGATGGAGGCTTATTTGTCTCCGCATCAGATGATGGGACTCTCTGTATCTGGGATTTAGCCACTAGACAGCCCAAAAGAAGGTTGTCAGGACATCAGAGTTCTGTAAATTCTGTTGCATACTCTTCAGATGGATTGTACATCATTTCTGGATCATCTGACTCTACAATATGTATATGGAGTGTAGAAACAGGAAAACCTACATTGAAGCTGAAGGGTAACTCAGGATGGGTGAATACTGTTGCATTTTCTCCTGATGGAAAACTTGTGGTATATGCATCTGGAAGCAAAGAAATTTCCATTTGTGATGCAAAAACAGGAGAACATATGGCAGAGCTTGAGGGTCATTCGGAAGCTGTAACATCTATTAACTTCTCTCCCAATGGAAAGTATCTTGTCTCCGGATCAAGTGACAAAACCATTCGCATCTGGGATATGTTAGCATGTGAGACCAAGATGGAGCTGAAGGGACATTTAAATTGGGTTGCATCTGTTGCCTTCTCACCTGACGGAAGCCACATTGTCTCTGGATGTCATGACCATACTGTTCGTGTCTGGGACATTATGACAGGTTTGTGTGAAGCAGAATTCAAAGACCATTCTGGCCAGGTATATGCAGCTGCTTATTTCCCTGATGGACAGCATGTTATATCAGGGTCAGATGATCGTATGGTCCGAAAATGGAATATTATGACTGGTGAATGCATGATATTTGCAGAAAATCATCTGTTACCAAATGGCACCAATGTTCACCATCGTCCATTTGGAGACTTCTACTTATCACCCCCAGTTCTATTTCCTCACAATCAATTGTCACTGGATGACACTGGTGAATGGATTAATCACATAAAATCCACTAAAAAATGTTGGATCCCACCTTTATTTCGACAGCCAAGTGCCATTGCCCATCACACTTCTATGATTTGCTTAGGATATGAAACAGGAGAGGTCATTGCATTGCAAGTAAGTTCATCTCATCTCCTTTGTTCTATTAAATTTTAACAATACTATTCATTTAGCTGAACCACAAAGGGTAGAAGCCAATTATATTTTGAATTTTCTATGGGATCTCAATTGAACATGTAGCTTTGAATGATTAGTAAATTAGTCAATATATCACACTTCTTACTTCTTTTTTTTAAAATGTCAAGTAAAAGTCAGAAATGGTGTACATCTAGTGGGGTTTGTCATGTGTTTTTGTCAGTCAATGATTCTGAGACCATCACATGACAATGTTGCCATCATGTCTCTTTTCTTTTAGTTATGCATCTCTTCCACTTTCCATGCATCTTTTTGTTGAGAGCATATCAAGGTCAGTACTTACTATACTTTCAGTGCATGCTATGAGTCTGCACAATTTCAATCCCATTTTTCAACTAATCACACAATATTGACTGATGACCCATGAGGTCACCTTAGACCTAGGTGCTGGTAGGGCATACCATCTTTAGGATAGTTGTTGTGCCTGCCCTTTCACTGTTGAAAGTACCTCTGACTGTGAAGTGTTCACTCTGAAATTCTCGCATAGCTGAAGCCAAGAGGGAAGGAGGAGGCAAGAATGGGTGGATCTAGGATCACCACCCATAAGTGAGGAATGAGTAGTTACAAGATACTCCGCTGGCCCAACATGATTATGCATGCTGTAGGAAGTACAGATATACAAAGCACTACATGTAGTGCAAGAGGATGCTGACAAGATGGTGGTTCAAGACAAAAGATCAATTTATTATGTAAGATATCCAAATCTAGCTATATACCACTGTTTGACTATGGCCTCTGGGCATTCCCTTCCAATCCTGTATCACACTGACTCTGAAGAAGTTAGTGGGCAGAGAAACATAATATCTTTACCACAAAGAGTCATTACATATGGTGGTTGGATCTTGTACATTTACAATGAACAGACAGTATATATCAATACATGGACATTGTAAATCAATATCAGAGCTGTTATGGTTATAAAATTAGCCCAAACTTTGTGAATGCTACATGTTATTGAAAATAATTATAAAGATGGATGATTGATCACATGACTGTAGTCCCATTAAGGGATGAATACTACTAACAAGCTCTGCTGAAATGGTGAGGTTACTTAAATTTCATTCACATTTCCTTGCTGATGTTATGCCTGAATAAATTTCAAACTTGTTCCTTATTTAAGTACTCTCAATATGTGCTGTGAATCAAGAGACCAATGCTCCCAGCATCTGCTGCAATCATTACACCACTACATAAAATTGAATAGGCAGAACAGAAAATTTTGCTCAGAAAAACACCTTACTCAAGTTCATGCTTTCCTGGACTACCTTTTTTCCCTTTGGGTTTTGGACACATGGCTTTCAAGAACCTCCAAAAGACATACATACAAACAACTTCTGAATTTGAAATAAATATGAGGCTATCATGTACTTAGAGTCTGTTCAGATGCCAACTCCATTGCCAGAGTTGGGCTTGGGCTTGGAGTTGATGGGACTAGTAAGCATCCAAACACAGTAGTCATGTAGTTTTGCAAGCACCTGTTTCTGCAAATCATGCTCTAACTGGACAACAAGAGTGATATATGCCTCTGAGAATATTTGAGGCAGTGTATACCTATGTAAAAAGTATGAAGAAGATAATTTTGACTAAAAAAATAGGATTAGAACATGATGCAGGCTGAAACATATACCAAAATACATCATTTTTTCAACATGTTGTCTAAATAGAACATTCTGACATTTTTGAAAATAGCTGCAATAAATTCACACCACTATGAAAAGTTGTTCTGAAAATTGGAACAGGGCACTTATTTCAAATTTTCATGTAGTTTTTGTAGTTATTATACAGTCATCAACGGGTCAATGACACAGCTGGGTCATTGACACAAAACACTCTTGTTGCTTCAGTTTTGCTTGAAACAATTTGAGTATATTCAAGCACATAGTAATAGGCTGGATGAATACATTTCTGATTTTGTTGGGGTACCATAAGACCCTCAGCATTTTGAAAGTTCCATTTATTGGTTTTCATGAAGATTGATGAATTCTATAACCTAATGTAGCAACGACATGGCCAAGTAATATCTACATTTTTGTGGTACATGGGTACAGCACAGTGAAAGGAACACTCATAGCATTTTATCTAAGGAGGTAGGGTTCTATAAAGCCTCTAAGAGTGCAAAAGAGGGGAAACAACGTTGAGAGGTGTTATCTTTTGTGACAAGCTCTGGGTCACACTCAAACTGGGCCAGACAAGCGAAAAAAAAGTTTCGTATTGGTTAACCCATCTGAAAATGACTGGCCGACCTCTATCCGATGCTCGGAAACTCCAACAAGACAGGGGTACCAAGGATGGCCTCCTCATCCGTGCAGTAGCCCTCTATCGACACGAACAGGAAACGGCAGTCAACCGAAAGCCCCTCAGTCTGTGTAAAGTCTGCAAAAAGATCGAGGATGAGCACTGGTTGGAAACCAAGAGGACAGTCAAGCTCGATCCCTGTACCTTGCAGAGGCTGGTCAAGGGTGGAACCCTGAAAAGCATCCGGAATTCTCAGAAGTCTTGGTTGCTTGAGTGGGAGGTGGCATGGTCATTGATTATGCCATCGAGGTTGCTTCTTGTGGATTCCCACTCAGCCACAGACGGCTCAAGGACCATGTCGACAGCATTTGCCATGCGCGGCTAGGAAGGAAGTTTCCCGCTTCTGGAGTAGGCAAAAACTGGACTAGCCGTTTCATCAGTAAGCACTCTGATCGGCTCAGCACCTACTGGACTCACAATCTTGATGAAAAACGGGGATGAGCAGTTAATCCACACACAAACAAGGAGTGGTTTGATCTGTTGGAAGATGTCCTAAAGGGAAACAGGGATGATGAGTTTGACAAGTTTGATCCTCCTCCAACTAGCACGGGAAGCAGTGGTCAGGCTGATGATGTCGACGATGACTCGGACATGCCAGCCCTTATCTGAGATCCTCCTCCAACTAGAAGCAGTGGTCAGGCTGATGAGGTCGATGACGACATGCCAGCCCTGGCAAGTCTTGAGAAAGATACCTATGGAGATGATGGAGTTGATGAGGATGAGGATGGTGGACACGAACCTATCCGAGAGGAGAATATTTATGGAACAGACGAATCAGGGTTCTTTCCAGAAGGCAGCGTTAGGGTGCGTGTGATTGGACCAAGAGGAAAGAAGACTCAGCATCAGCAGTCAGATGGTGGGAGGGAAAATACCACAGTCATCGTCACGATTTGTGCTGATGGATCATCGTTGAAACCTGCCGTTCTCTACAAAGGACAATCATATCATGTCAAGTGGGACCAGGAAAATCCCACGGAGGCCTCGTACGTCTCAGTATTCATTGAAAATTCTTGCTTCTCACCAACATTCTATGTAGACTTGGTTATTCGAAAAAGGGCTGGACCGATGGTGAGATTGGGGTGGAATACATCAAAGATTTCCATGAACAAACGAAGGCAAAAGCAAATGGACGTACTCGGGTGCTTCTTGTGGATGGCCACAATTCTCACTACACGCTCGGCTTCCTCCTCTTTGCACTTAAGCATCGAATTCATGTCTTGTGTTACCCTTCCCATGCAACCCATGTGTATCAAGGTCTTGACGTGGTCATATTTGGGCCATTAAAGCTGTTTTGGACTCAGGAGAAGGACAGGTGGTTGCGTGAAAAGAGGACAAAAGTCAACAAGACGAACTTTTTACGTATCTATGGTGCTGCCCATGTCTGTGCGTTGACACCCGAAAACATCAAGGCCGCATTTCGTCGAACGGGTGCATGGCCTTTCAATCGCTCAGTCATCACTGCAGAAATGATGGCTCCAAGTGTCGAAACCTCTTGCCAGGGTTACCTTCCAGTCCAACCAACCACGCCTGTCCGAGCTGTGACCGCCTTGATTCACAGTGTGCGCAAGCGCGCCCACACCATGGTGGTGTCAGAGACTGATAGCACGGATGACGAAGCCTTACCTTGCACCCCACGCCGTCGCCAAAACCCATTCGATATGCCTGTCCGCACAGCCCTCCAGTCACTTCGCATGTCGTCCCTGTCCTATCTCATCACTTCATCCCCAATCCAATCAATGGCGGAACCACCATCATTCACTGCTTGTGCAATCTCACCACCTGTCACCCGTCATTTCACTGTTCCGGAAACAGCGCTCAAGTCAGAACTGCAAGAGGAGTTAGCAAAAGCAAAAGCAAAGCTGGATGTGCAGAAGACTCACCTCATCGCTCTGCAGTCCTCGTTGGTCCTGAACAGCATTTATGTCGATGACGTTCGAGGTCAGTTAGCAGCACAAGAGGAGGCAAAGAAAAACAAACAGAAGAAGGGTCGACTGGTAGCAGATGGCCGGCCTCGCCTTTACACAGCAAAGCAATTCACACAAGAGGTCAAATCGCACACAGAGGAAATGATTCGAAAGGAAGCGGAGGCAAAGTTGCGCAAGGAACAACAAGCGGCAAAAGCAATTACAACCAAGGGACAAAAGGTAGCCAAGGCTGAGTGGGTGGCGCAAAACAAGGAGATTCGTGCACAGTGGAAGGAAGAGGTTGTTGGGTGGGAGGCTGAGAGGGACCTTGCTAAGCGAGAGAAGCGCCGACCTGCGTGGAAGAAGCCAACTTTGAAGGGACGGCTCATCCCGAAACCAGCCAGTCGTGTTGCGGGAACGGTCGAGGCGATAGGGGCACCTGAAGGGGGAGTGAACACGGCCGTGGATGACGAGGATGAGGACGGTGTGACTAACTCCCAGAGCAGTGATTCTGACAGTAGTTTGGATGAGGACTCGGAATAGATACTAGTACTTGATGGCTCGTAGTATGGAATAGGACTGGGAACCAAAATGATATTGATTTATAGAGGGGGACTGCTAACTACTCTGAATGTGGGTCCAAGAGTTCTCCAAGTGTCCCATTCATGCCCTTTGCCATCTGTATAATCTTTGCTGCTGCGAAAACCATTGACTCCCTTAAGAACTTCACCTCCACCATCAAACGGTCGTAATCTCTCGCCAGCTTGATGCCGTCATTGCATGTCCTCCGATGAGCCGCATGTGAGTGCTCGAGCTCAGCAAGTAGGTGGGCACAGTTTGTGCACACGTTGTTGGTTTCCTCAGCTTGGGTGCTTTCTTCGTCTTCGATTTCAATGGCTGGGACAGGTGGGCTATCCTGGGATACCCCATCATGTGTCAGGTTGTCGTACCACTGTTGGGAATCGATTTGGGAGTCGAGTATGCCATTTGCACCAAAGTCACTGGACAGGGAGAGAATCAGGCAATGAACAGGCAATATGATGTAGTAGACTCACGAAGTTGTCTTCAAGGAAGCTTTCAGAAAACTTTTCCGAGCTGTGTGCTTGCGCGCTGGACTTGGGAAGACCCCAGCTTGTTTTTCAGCCACCTCGATATGATGATAGATGGCTTTCGTTGTGGCTCGTGACGTGAGCTTTTTGGATGATCTGCCAAGTTTGGAAGAGGGTGGAGGTGGAAGGTTTAAGTTCCGAGTAGCGTCTTGGAGGGAGGGACGTGTGCTCGAGGTCGGCTTGTCCATTGAGATGATTGTTGCTTCAAAGAAATATCTGCAGACAAACAAAGCCAAACTCCGGATTATATCCCAATCGAGGCATTTGTGACTGTGTCATTGAGTAGGTTGACGCTGTTTCGACTGAAAGATGCAGTCCTCAACAACAGCACAAGGTAAAATTATTTAAAGTCCTGGAATGTAGAGTTAAGATACATTCTAACATTTTGTGTAACTTGAATCAGTGTGCTAGACATGATATGTTCAGCTACAAATGTTTGTGTCATTGACCTGTTGATGACTGTAGTACCTATTTTTGCCCCTCTTATCTTATCCAGGTTATCCTCTACTACAATTTTCATTGTTTCCTCTCATTCAATTAGGTTTTGTTTACTCAGTATTTGTCAAACTCATAGTCCTCATATACTCAACCTGCTTGGCATACTGGGGGTAACCAAATAGAACACTTAGTGACTCACAAACAATACAAAGAACAAAAACTCCCAGTTCATAAGTGGTCAATGATGGCCAAATATGATAGAAGGTTCTCAGACCTTCTGTCAATATCTAGAACCAGTACATTAATATATGGTCACTTTGTAAGAAATTAGAATACATATTTACTTTTACTCCCAAACTTGTGTGAACTTGAGATGTTGAATAAAGATCTAAGTTGTCATTTAAGAGCTATTCAATAAAGCAATATGCTACTGACTAGTGACATTTTTCAGATCTATGGTGCTTTGGTTAACACTTCACATTCAACACATTCATGCTCAGCCTTTCTCATCAGTGAATGGGACTCATGTGTTCCATGATCTGATCTGACCACATTCACAGGAATAAAGCATGCAATAGCTAATAAAACTTCAACAAACTGTGAAAATCAAGAGACATATAGTCATTATGGTTCCCAGAAACCCTGCTTCCAAGGGGTTACAGTCAATATAGTTGTTTTGAAATGTCAATGCTAAGTGCTTCTATCTATCTCTTGAGTTTTGGACACATATGCTTCTCAAATGGCCTGCAAAGCGCAGTAAAGCATGACAGACAGATTTCCAAATCAGGCCTAGAAAGGTCTGGGGGTCTCAGATTCTTGTATAAATAGGACCTCTGTTTATTTCTTTGGAATAGTGTTACTAGGCAAGAGAAGTGCCTTGTGAAATATTTTCAGCCCCAATTCACCAAGAAAAATGTCAAGGATTGGTCCAGGATGATTGCTGGATGCAAAATGTAATTTTATTGGGGACTTTTCAAGTTATACCCAGTGTAAATTTATTTGCTAGCATGCTAAACTTCAGGTGTTGTTTGAAGGCCATCCTGAGTCTCTATGAATTGATTAAACATGATGGTAACATTTTTTTTTCTTGCAGAGAAGAAGGGCCAATGTTGTAGAATTTTGTCTAACTTCAGAAAAACCCTGGGTATCAGCCTCTACAGACATCATGCACTGTTTATTTTAACATTACTACCTACCTCTTATACTATGTATATGGATCACAAATATTAATTGGCAGTCATTTTACCTCATTCCAAGAAACATATTTAGCCCAAAATACATAAATTGTGGAATCAATTTGATTTTACTTTTTAGGGGAGAATATATAATTTTATAGCCCAGAGACTTTATGGGGCTTATAACAATAGCAGGGAAATCCAGTGCTCAAAAAATTTCTTCTTCAAATTGTAAATTGCTTCCAGTAGGTTGCAGTTATTCAGAATTTCCCATTTTGTTACAGCCATCAACCAGTCAATGACACAGCTGGGTCAATGACACAAAACAGTTTTGCTCCCCCATTTTTTCTCACATCTCTTAGAAATTTTATATCACTGTAAGGGAATACTATATCAATATGACTGTGTTTTTTTTGAAGCAAGAGCCTCTCTTGAACTCCATAAAAGCTCTATTCATCAGTTTTGATCAGGCTTTGACAATTCCATTACCCTGATCAGGCAATGATCTCTTTAAGACTGAGATTTATTTTGACAGTCCCCCAATACAAAATACATAGGGTACAATAATCAAAATTTATCTAGGAGTGTAGTGGCTTGTAGGGACTGTCAGCAAGGAAAAGATGTGAAACAACGCTGAGATGGGTTACCAAATGTGACAGAGTTTGTGATGCATCCAAATTGGGTTTACTTGTCAAATGAAAATCTTTCCTCCGCCTTGCCTCAGCTGACAGCCTAAAATGCATGGATGACCTCTGTTCAATACTTGAGAACTCCAGGTGACCTAACATAAGTCCCTTGAGGAGAATATTTCTCAGATGTAAGTTAAACCAACTTTTGATGCCATATCCCAATCAAGTAACTTGTGACTGTGTCATTGAATGGTGTTGACGCTGTTTTGACCGAAAAATTCAGTCCTCAACAGGTAGGCAAGATAAAAAGTTTTAAAATACTAATTTGTATAGTGTAAATACTTCATCAGCTTTTGTACAATTCAGTTTTTGAGAAGCCGATGTGTGAGGGATGTGATCCAGTCAATAAAAATGTTTGTGTCATTGACTGGTTGATGACTGTACATCCCATTTTCGGCAGTTGTCACAGTCAATGCTCTGACGTATCCTGAGTTTTCATTTGTTCATCCCCAGACCTGGTATGTACAATCTACACCTCCTTAGCTATGTTTTATACACCAGAGCTTAGTTCATAAAATGTTTTGTTCTTGTGTTACAGTACTGACTTTGTCCAAAAAATGATGTGACATTCTTTTTGCCAAGTTAGTGTAGGGAACACTTCAACACATTCAACCCTTCATCTTCACTTGTCTTCGCTTATGCACCAAAGCTTAAATCTCTAAGTTCTCATTCAAATCACAATAACTAATAACATTATATTCACAGGAATATGGGTAAACAAATTCTAACAGTACTATAAGGATTACAATATTTTATGCCGACAACAAAATGGAAAAGTCAAGGAAAAGTGATGGATTTTGGTATATTGCAGCCTGTGCCATGTTCTCATCCAATTTATCCAAGTAGAAAAAGATAGTCACCCTTATTACATAGGCTTACACTCCATCAAACATTTCCAGACCTTAGATTGCAGTTGTCGTAAAGTTAGAGCGTGATTTGCAAAACTAGGTGCGTGATAATATATTGCAGCCTGTATCATGTTCTCATCCTATTTTCCCAAACTAAAAAATAAATTTGTACCTTTATATACATTTTCAGAGCATATATCACTCTTGTCGTGTAGTTAGAGCGCGATTTGCAGGACCAGGTGTCATGCGAAACTATGTGATTACCGTGTTTGGATGCTTACTAATCCCACAACTCAAGTCCAAGCCCAACCCAACGGCAACGGGGACTGGAGTTGGCATCCGTACAAAGTGATGCCCCAGTCTAATGGTCTAGAAACACAGAGAGAAAACACGTCGGGGAATGGTAATTAGGATGTTGTTGAGACGTGCAGATCTAACTAGTCGACAGGTCGACAAGATCCCCTCTTGCGGCAGAGGGCGATGAAGCAGGCCAGCAGAAGTGGTCCAGTTACCTCGCGAGTTGTAGAAAGCGATCGACCTGCAACGGCATTTCCACAGGCAATAGGATCTAGTTACCCAGGTCATGCGAGTGGTTCTTATCCCAGGGCTGGTGGACAAGATCGGACTTCAGGTTTTGTGAGGAAAACAGTGGCATCGACAGCTCGAACCCCAACCTTGATCGGCATCAAGTCTTCCTGGAACCCCCCAACTGCAATGAATAATGTACGACGAACTTTAGGGGACACTCAGAGCGCTCTTATCCCGGGCAATGCATCACCCTCGAGCCATCCACCACTTTTCTTCTCGGACCTGCGGAGAAGAGATCCAATGGGGATGGGCCACTCCCAAGACGTTAGTAACCGCGTTCTACTCCACCTAATTCTCGAAATATGACGGAGAGGCAGGTCCTTACACGTAACACCTTCCGACATTCCAGATCATCATTTCCTCTACCAATAACGCCCAGCCCACACCTGCGTCATCGACGTCTCGGTGCTTTCCTTTTTTTTCAATTTCGCGCGGCGGGTTACCTAACCACACTTAATAGGGATGAAAACGACCTCTGCGGCCCCGCAGCAGGGCGGACTTCGAAGGCACTCCATGGCTAGCTATCTGACACCATCAAACCCGGATCCACTGCCGATAAAATATTCCAAACCCCTTGTCCCGCTGTGGCAATCTGAAGACGAGGCCTACGAGCAGCGGTTGCGCTCCAATAAACGCAATAGAGCTGAGGGTGGCATTGGCCACGACGTTTTCAAACGCATCTCCGTTGGCGCAAGTGCAAGTAGAAGTGTAGGAAGGATCGTGGTTGAGCGTAATCCTAATTCTCCCAAGTCTCATTTAGAGCGTGGTATGAAGCTTCGTGTCCTCAGTGATCAGGGTGACTCTGGCACAGACGATGATGAGCCCCGATACCGTCCGCGAGCGAAGATAACGTCCCGTAAAACGACGACGTGGGTTGATTTTCTTTAAAGCTCTTGAAATCTTCTTGAATCTCTTTAGACTTCAAACCGGGTTGAAGAGATCTGCTGCTCGAAAGATTGAGATCAAACCCGCCACTTCTTCGAGTGAAGAGGACAGTGATGTGGATGATTTTTCTGCCCAGTCTGAGTCTTCGTCGCGAGAGGATGGTGAAGTTGAGGCGTTAGAAATTGACCATTTGGATTTGGGTGCAGTGTACAACGACATCGATATGGATAGGCAAAGGCGAAACCCTCTTCCGTCAACAGCCATCCTATATGATACCCCTCCCAGAATTACGATACCTTTGCCGCAGTTAGGACTTCAAAGTCCCCCTGAATCGTTGATCGTCGCAATCGAGGCCCTCTCACTTTCTTGTGTACGTATGCAGAAAGCCCGACAGCTTCCTTTTTTGCGAAGGAATTTACGTTGTGGTTTCGAACGGAGATGTCTCTCACTCGGAGTTCCCACTACGTCCGATACAACTGCAAGGCCTCCTTCCATTTGCGTGCGTTACGAGCATGTTGCTAATCTCTCCTACGAAACCTGGATCTCGGCGTGGCTTTGTCCTTTATGCGACCTCCACGGCGAAATGAAAACCAGAGAGATGCTGTCAAGCCATCTCCAATGGGATCACAACGAGGCATATGTAGAGTGGGAGAAAGGGCAAAAGGAGGTGGAGTGTTCCCTTACAGCTTCACTTGGCTCAATATACAGAAACTGAAACCGAAATACAGAGGTCGTGGACGATCAAATTACTCATCCCAGAAGTCCCTAAAAATGATAATGAGTACGTGACAATATGCTCGAGTTGAAAATCACCTACGGATGCCCAAGCCCAAGCCCCGCCAGATTTCCCCACAACCAAGCGTCAGTATCGCCACCAAGGCAATCCTCTCAAACGAACGCAATCCCAACGACCCAATATTCAGTATCTTCAAATTATACGCCCCCGGTACGACCTCGAGATAGCCTGTTTCCATATGTAACCCTTTCGCCTGCCACTCCCACGTCACCTACCCCACAGGAGCCACGTATCCCTCCTTCGGAACGCGACGGAGCCAATGCAAAACAACCGACATCCATCGAATCACGCAAACCTGCCGCGCGCCAGAGCGCCCAAGGGGAAGCAACAAGGGTCTGGCAACCTCAACGTACGCAAGGAACTAGCGGTTTGAACGCAGATGAGAGCGATGACGACACCCCGCGAAACACCGGAACTAAGCAAGAAAAGAGCCAGGCTACCAGACCCACAAATATTCCACACCAAAAGCCCTTCTCCCCTGAAAAACATCCTTCTCGCTTGGATGGTACCACACCATCATCTTCAAGAGCGCGCTCAACGACAGTAATATCAGTAACGACTGCTACAACGGAGAAAAGTGTAGACGCCCCATACCCCTCCCGATACCCCACGCCCCCACCACGCGATAACCCGCTGGGCGCGGCTGCCCAGCCTCCATATTTTCCTGCTCAGTCTGACTATGGTGGACCATCAGTGTATTACTCATGCAGACCTGGGGGACCGTCTCTTCTAGATCTACTAGATACCCTACCTCTGGAACCGTTTGGTGTTCTCGATTGGGCGGTTTTGGATCGCGAAGACGAAATTTTTGAGAGCGACGACGTGAAGGATGAGTACAAGGTTATGCATGCGCTCTGGGCTCGGTGGATAGTTTTGAATCGGTGAATATTTCTTCAACAAAAGCAGCATCGAGACCTTTGCTTCTGACTGCGCTGCACAGGAACAAATTTGTTGCCAATTATCACAAGGGAACAATCGCGTTTGTGGACTCGTATTGGAAAATGATACACCGAGCTGCTGGATGGGACGCATTGCGGTACTGGTTACTTGTGAGGAACAACTGCTCATCCCTTTTTTATTTATTTAAATGTTGGCTCAACGCTTCGTAAGATGCTACTGGCTAACAGATTTCTCAGTGGCCATGAGGTTGCAGAGGTTCTGCAACATTATGAGAGTTTGACAGGAATGGCAACCTCGTATGATTGAATGCCTCGATTGATTAGCCGCTGGATAACAATCTTTTTTGTCGTTGAGTTTTCTATTTAAAAAAACTTTTTGCGCTTGAAATTAGAGCTGGGATGTTTATTGAAGCAATTCGACGACCATGTTGAATCTCTCTCACAATTAGGGTTTAAAAAACGGGACGCCAAGGGGACACACGGACGCTTGGGATAGGAGCATTTGTACTCCGTATACCACACTGCGATTTGAGGAAAGATGAGATATGACCACGAATTGCCTTATAAACCATTGGCAAGAATATACACTGAATGTCAGAAAGTTAAACGCAGATTGAAATCTTCTACTTGAGAAAGCTGGGAGGAAACCCACAGTTTATCCATGCGCCAGTCCGTACTTCCATAATTTCTCTATCGCCAACTTGAAGGGAGGTTGTGCGTATTATGTTTTTTATTGATATTAGCGGCTCCATAAACTTGTGCGCCGTATACCTCATATTCGCAATGATATCCTCCCGGCACAATAGAAGCTGAAGCAGAGCGTGGCTCTGATACAGTCAAAAGAGTTCAAAAAGTCTGAACAATAGACTTGGCAGTTGGGGCATGCCTTACGCTGTCAACTTGAAGTTCAAGTTCACATCTTGAGCGCTACCCGCTGCTCGGCCTTCAGCCACACTCAATTGGTAGGGTGTAAGCGATCACATACTAACCCTTCACTCGGATAAGTCGTCGGTCCACCGTCCGTGCGCGTTCCACTTCTTCTCAAGACGAGCCTACTTGATCCTCTATAGACCAGACAGTTAAGGATGTCAACTTATCTGGCCTGTTTATTGATTGAAAGTTTCCAGATGAAGCTCGTCCCTGCACAAATCTGGTATGCGGCTGAAGGTCAGCGCAAAATGTATCATCGCAATCTTCTACGAGCCCAGAGCGTTGACGACAACGTCCCCTCGAGTCGTTTCGTGGGGAACCTGAGTAAAGAACTTATCAGTTGGTCCTTGTCAATGCTAGATCCACTTATGCTCTGGCTCACCGAACAAATACTTGACCTGAATCTTGCCTGAATCGCAGCCTTTGAAGATGATTTTGTCACGTGAAAAATGAGTCCACAACAACGACAAATAAAATGTTGTATAAAACTTTTTTTTGCAAGGTCCTTTTTCTCCACGACGCTTTGCCCCCCTTCCATTCGCCAACATGAGCGAGGACGGGTCTTCCTTTTATCGACGTCGGAGAGTATCTTCCAAGCTTCGCTTTCGCTAGCAACACTAGCCTTGTTTCAAGGCGATGATGGATTTCTAGATAGTAGCGAAAGCTACATACCTATGTATACGTTGTTTATTCTGCAATAGAGTGCGGTGCGAGGCAGATTTATGCAAATCAGCGATTTCACGTCAAAGTGACTGGTCATGAAACTGAGTCGTGAAATTGAGTCGGAATCGTTTGGAGCATCGTTTGGTAGTACCGCCATTTATGATTTACGTTGCACAGTCAAGACATCCTGGGGTGCGAGAAAGGTTGCGATGCGATTATAGATACAAAACTGTGAAAGTAATGCCGAAGATATGCAACCTATGCCTTCTGAGCAGCAGCGACCTTTGCGTCTTCCGCAGCAGCAACTGCCGGGTTCACTTTCTTTCCATCCTTCCATCGGACACGGGGGGGAGGGGCACGGTTGCGGCGGCCCTCGCGTGATCGGACACGGACGACTACAAGGAATGGTCAAGAACGGAACGGACCCAAAAAAAACAGGATTCTCACCATGCGAGTGAATGGCGCATGAGACGCAGTATGCGATTTTGATGTAAAGTTTCGGGATAACGTATTCTGAATCCCCAAAGTCAGCGACAATGAATGTCAGGAATAGGGCGAAAAGAACGCACCAGGGTACACGCTGGCTTCACTAATATCCCTGACAGCAGCACTCTCAACCATGTTCCTTACTGTGAAGCGCTTGATGGCCTTGTCCTTTCCAACGCAGCGAGAGCAGTTCGAGCAACGCATAAAGGTGACGTGGCCACGTCCCTTCTTGTTGCGGCCGCCATTTCTTCTTTTCTTGGTCTGGGAAAGCGCAATTCAGTGATAAGCCCAAAAGTCGACATCCACAAGTCCCAAGCCCCATCCGTCTCCATTTCAACCCAAAATAACATATGCTCAGTATGCACGAAACGGAAAGCTTCGCTGGACTCGCATTGACGCATAAAAGACTCACCATTTTGAGTGTCTGGTCGATGGGCGATGTGTTAGACGGCGACGATGATATCGCTCAGTGTGCTTGGGCTGCCTCGGCTCTTGCCGTTCTCACAGTATAGCGGTCCGAAATCGGACGGTGGACTCCGACAACGATTTTTGACTTCCTCAGAAGTACATCTTCACAACTATGACTGACCATTCACTTCCTAATACAACTCCACCTGTGCCTCTCAGTATCTACTTGTCGCACGTAAATCTCTAGAAACAAGAAAAAAAGGTATGCAGTTATTGCTCAATGGGACAAAGATGATTACGTAAGTTTGTTGTATTGAGGCGACACCGGCCATTGTGTCCTTTTGTTCAAAAAAGGCCCTTCAGCGTTCCTGAAAATGCCCACGTCCCCTTGAGTTTTTCCTTATCGCAACTTCCACCCTCTTTCTTCTTTCACTTTCCTTCAGCCTGGTGCTATTCCCATTCATTTTACCAGAAGACGACGCGCTCTTTTTTTCACCAACAGGAAGATGCAATACTCAATAGCTTTCACCGTTGCCGTTTTGGGAAGTTTGATTACACTCGCTCGCTCTGCACCGACCGCAGCACTGGACGCTGCAACTCTTTTGCAAAACGGCCAGGAAGCCCAGAAACTCAATAGCATATTTCAAAACCTGACGGCCACAGATCCTTGCAGCGGTAAGTCTACCATAGTGGCTCGAATTGTTTTTTTGCTGAACAACAAATAGCTGGGGAAGTGGCCTGTGTTCAAAACTCCATCTCGACCTGTGCCAATGGCACTTGGGATACGGCCCAGGGCCAATGTGCAAAAACGCAAAGCTGCTTTGCCATTCCATCGGTCAGAGCAGGAGGAGTGGTGAGTCTGGTAATAAAGAAATTTGAGAAGCCACTGACGCCCATTTGATGGCTAGTTGTTGACTTGCACAAGCGAGGCTAGCGCCGCGTCAGTCATCGCCGCGACTGGAGCAACGGGTGGCATTTTCGGAACGGACACGAATGGGACAACCTGTAACAGCAACAGTGATCCGATTCCCATCACTGGTGCATCATCTCTTCCTACCGGCGCTGGGTGTTCAGCTCCTACCTCAACCGCGTCCCGGTCCGGAACAGCGGTGACGCCGACTGTTACCGTTACACTCTTGCCCTCCGCCACCATAACACTTGCGACTTTTACGACGACTCTCACCCCAGGAGAGGCGACCAGTCTTCTGTCAAGCATTCTGGGTGGCGGAAGTCCTGCAACATCCTCCGCTTCCAGCTCCTCTACATCGTTGTCTGTATCATCCTCCGCTAGCACCACCTCTTCGTCCTCCTCGACCACCTCAGCGGCTTCTAGCGGTTCGCAGTCAATCATTCTTCTGACCGCTGCTACAGGTGCACCTTCAACGACAGCATCGTCAGCGTCAGTGAGCTCAAGTGCTTCCTCCGCCAATGTTGCCGCTGCTGCTATCACCTCACCTCCGAGCTCCTCAGGTGGATATGGATATTGAAAATGAGGGAAACTGGGTTTTCCCGCTATTGCAATGTTGATTTATGAATTGTCCTCTACGAGCGCTAGTCGCATCATCAATGTGTATTGCTAGATCCTGTTGTACCAGTCTTGTACAAATATTGTAATTCCTGTTAAATTGTCCTCTCCTGAATTTGGGGTTGTAAACATGGAATTCCCCGAATCAAGTTTATGCCAACGAGAGCAGTGGCTCAACTTCAAGTTGGTCAATTTGTGCAATATCTGCACAAGGGTGGGTTCACGAGGGTGGACTTTATTCCCTATGAAAGGTGCAAATAGTTTGTATCCAGAATTCGACAGAATTTGACATGGTTACATGGAAGAATTACCGATAAGCTGCAATAATTGCCTGCCGCCATGCTGCTGGATTCAAAAAAATGCGATCATTTGCACCATAATCAGGAGGCACCTGTCCTCTGAATATGTCCGCAAGTAGGATATAGAATTGATCGGTGTGATGAGTCCAGTCAGCATCCCAAACCATCTGAGCAACCCTTCTTGAATCAGTTTGCGAGCCTGAGGGGACACCTTGCCATAATTCAATAGATATCTCTGGAGTTGGGTGGGGAGGAGCAGGAGGGTCAATTGATAATAGGATAACAAGTTGCACCTGGGCAAGTTCTGGTGATCATGTCACAATGAAAGAAAGGAGTTGACTGACATCTGGCAAATGTTCTAACCACAGCCTAGCATCAATCTTCAGCTGTCTCAAGCTTTCTGAACAGCCAACTTCAAGGACAATGCTGGGACGGTCTGAGTTTGTTGGCTCAAAACCAGCATCTGCTTGCTTCTGTCTCCTTCCAAGCTGATAGCCTGAAATGATTTGGGTCAACCCCACTCAATTTTTATGCTTGAAAAGACATACCTGTTCTTCCAATGGGCATACACCCCAGAGGACCCCATAGACCAAGCCCATTAGGAATCAGAGCCAGAAGAGCAATAGTGACCTGCTGGGTCCAAACAGCAGATGCCACATTATGCATGGCACTTGGTACAAATCTGACAATAAAATTAAAATCATCGCTGTATGTTACTCTGAAAAAATGTCAGAAAATTCAGGTTTCATAGAATGTCGACTGACCTCATTGCCCTTCTCTGTTCCTCTTTGTCAAGTAAAGAGTATGCAGCCTCCAATTCCTCCTCAAAGATGTTGAAACAGAAGATGTGTACACCTCCCAAAGCTGCACTAGAAAGTTTGAAAAATGTATGTGAGACAAATCATCCCTGCAAAGGCAGGCTTGTTCACCTTTCTACCTTTGATTGGAGTGTGGTCATGGCCTGCATGGGGGTCATTGCATTGACAGGCCTTGAGAAGGAGCGATTCATCAGCAATCAGTGGTAAGAGGCAAGAGTTCAAGTTGTGTCTTACTGGTAAAGGATTGGAGAATGAAACAGTCATTGTCTCACTTGGTGCTTGCCCTGGCCATCAGCTTCATATACACATTAGAATACACAGGGTTTTGTGTCAACATATGATTACCGAAAAAGGTGATAAGTCTCAATAATCCTCTGCCGCCAAGCTGCTGAAGCTAGAAAGATGCGATCAGATGCACCATATTCAGTGGTAACCTCCCCTCTGAATATGTCAGCAAGAAGGATGTAGAATGGACCTGCATTATGAGTCCAATCATCTTGCCAAACCATATGGCCTTCCTTTGTTTGAGCATCTTGTGAGCCTACAAGGACACCTCACCATAGTTCAATAGATATCTTTGGAGTTGGGGTCGGCAGTGGCAGGGTCAATGAATAGAAGCATGACGAGTTGTACCTGAGGGAGTGTGTGGAGATTAAATGACCACAAACTTAACAGGGCTTGGTTGACTAACCTCTGGTAAGTGTTCAACCCATAGCTTGGCATCAATCCTCAATTGTTTCGAGGTTTCCGAACTTCCAATCTCGAAAAGAATGCTAGGATTGAGAGAGGAGAGAGGCCGAATACCATCATCTGCTTCTTTCTTTCTCGGCCCAAGTTGCTGAGCTAGAGAGGATGAAAGGTACATTAAACTGAGCTCAAATGATATATTTAAGAAATATACTTGACCCTCCGATAGCCGCGCACCCTGGAGGCAACGCTGGACGCTCGCTTTCAGGGATCAGAGCTGTAAGACGATTACAGACGAGCAAGCTCCATTGAACAACTGCCTCTACGTGCACGGCACTATCTATAAATCCGATGACAAAGTTGAATTCGTCGTTGTAAGTGATCCCGAAAGAAGGGATGTGAGGCAGAAAAGTTGGGTATTTTGCCGCGCTGACCTCATCGCCCTTCGTTGCTCTTCTTTGTTGAGTAAAGAATATGCACGTTCCAACTCCTCCTCCAATACGTTGAAATACAAGATGTGTACACCCGGCGATGCACTAGAAAAGTTGAATATGTACGTGAGATAAGTCATCCATGTGAAGGCGAGTTAATTCACCTCTTTACTTTTCGTCGGAGTGCGTTTATGACCTCCCTGGCAGTCATCGCGTCGACGGGCCTCGAGGTGGAGGAGTTCATATCGCCGACTGTACTGGTAGACATAGCGATCTGTGGCGAGAGTGAGCAGACTAATACGATCGGAGAGTGAAACAGCCTTTGTCTGACTCGCTGCTAGGGGAATGCATGGCCGTTGACTTCGTATCCAATCCTCCTAGTAGCCAGTGCACGCAGCAATTGACCTATGCGAGTGGGAGAGTGCGAGAGAGATCCAGAACCATATGATGAGGTCAATGTGCTCGAACTGGACAACTCGGATACGAAGGTCAACTTTTTTCAAGGTCGACGATGTGGCGCTCCTCTAGAAAGCAGCCAAGAGGTGCCGCAAGTTCAGCAGATACGAGGCTTATGTTACCGCTAGCTATAGACGGGGTACGTCAACCAAAGTTGTTGAAAATTCAGCAAAACGGGGTACTTACTGGCCAACAGACAATGCAAGCAGCCCAGAAGTCTGCTACCATTTTGATGATAACCCGAGTTCCTATGAGATGACTGGACGAGTTCCTGTGCCAAGTTAGACGCGAGTCAACATGTCAGCAACCAACGCGTCGAGGTACTCATGGGACAGAAATAAACCTAAGAGAGAGAGGGAAAGAAAAAGCTGGTATTAAATAAAAATAGTAGTACAGCGACAACGACGAGAGACGACAGAAGCAACACACGGACACGTCAATTACACCTGCCCTAACCCAGACCGCGGAGGGTGAATAAATGATCACTCCCAACACAAAAGAGTGAGAAAAGGAAATAGAAAGAAGACCCAGAGTTCATGTATGTTGATCGTTAGGATCAGCGATGCTAATCTTCTTCAGCCTCATCGACCTCCTCATCGATAACCTCCTTGCTCTTCTTGGCTTTCGACACTGGTTTCGACTTCTTCGCGGGTGGTTTGGCGGCGGTCTTGGATACTGGTGCGCGCTGGAGGACGTGTTTGTTAGTTGGTCGTGACATGTAGGGAAGGGAGGTGGCAAGAAAAGGGTGAAAGAAGGAAAGAAAGGAAGAAAAGGTATAGGGAAGATAGAAAGAATACATACCTTGCGTTTCTTCCCACTACTATCCTCCGCTTCCTCGTCTCCACCAGCCGCAGCACCAGAAACGTCTTCCATCTCCGCATCTTCATCTACGGCCTAAAGACGATGTGAGCTGATTGAGATTCAAGGAACGACGAAGAGGAATGGACTTGCCTTCTTCTTAGGCGCCGCCCTCTTCTTCGGCTCAGGCGCAGTCTCCGCCTTTTTCTTAGGCTCCGGCTTGGCCTTTGACGCAGGTTTCTTCGCAGGTGCCTTCTTCTTCGGCTTCTCTTGCTCCTCCTCGTCACCCTCCTCGTCAGAATCAGGTTGAACGTCCGCTAACTCTTTCGAGAAATCTTCGCCGGACTCTTCGGATTCCGAGGTCTATCATAGAGCAACAAATTAGCTTAGAGGACGAAAGAAAGAAGGAAAGAAAGAGAACAAGACGGACCTTTTTCTTCTTCGGTGCGCGCTTTTTGGGAGCGGCTTTTTCTTTGGGCTCTGCAGCTTTTTTGGCTGGTGCCTTTCTCTTGGGTTTGGGTTCGTCGTCTTCTGCACCGCTTTCCTTTGCGACGTCTGCTTTCTGTGGACGGACAGGGGATCAATCAATACTAGGATGCGAGCGTGCAAAGAGGATTTGGGGACCTTTGCACGAGGCTTGGCGGGGGCCTTCTTCTTTGGCTTTTCTTCCTCTTCCTCTTCCTCGTCGTCGTCAGCTGGCTTCTGCAAAATCATAACAACGTTGAGTATTGAAGTGTTAAGAAAAGTAGCGCCAACCTTAGCCTTGGCTCTCGACTTCTTCGGCTTCTCAACAGCCTCTCCTCCCTCCTCGTCATCCTCCGCCTTCTTCTTTGGTGCCCTCTTCGCAGCAGGTTTCTTCTTGGGCTTCTCCTCGTCTTCCTCGTCTTCGTCTCCAGCCGCCGGTTTCCTAGCGGTCTCTGGGACGTCGGCAGGATCGACTTTACCCTCTTGCCACGCCTTGACGATCTTTGCTTGGTCCTCTGGTTTGAGATCTTCGTACCCGTCTAATTCGGATGGTTCATCGAAAGACTTTTTCATGTTTTCAATGATTTTGGGGGTGATGCAGCCCCAGTGTCTCCATGAGCTGCGTAGGGGTTAATATGGCGAGAGGGAGGAGAAGGGGGAAGGGGTGCGCACAAGCTGGTGGCTCCTCGAAAGTCGACGAGACTGCCGACGCGCAATTGGCCATTCTCGATTGGGGATCCTCAAAAAGAGTAAAATCTCAACATTAAAATGAGGGGCGTGGAGAGACTAACCTTGACATGGTTTCGGGCCTGTTGCGACGACCGGGTTTTAGCACAGGGGGGAAAAAGGAAATGAATGGGGAGTGACCTTTGCATTTGGCGCGAGCGGACACGGCGTACTCTAAACGATAGCCGGAAGGTTTCTCAGCCATTGTTGTGGGAGGGAAGGAAAGGAAGAATGGAAAGGAATAAATCAACGAACGCGACTTTTAGAGCAAAGTTCAACTTGTGTTGCTTTGAAAGTCCGCTTGAGCGCATTGACCATGGCCCATCATATTGCTGCACACACATTGTACATTGTTTCATATCGTAAAGGATCCGATTAGTAGAAAGGAAGAACGCGTGTTATCAAAAATCGTTGTTACAATTGTGAATTAGGATCAACTGTGGCCTGCAAACCAACAGAGAATCGTCGACAAAGGGCTTCATCAAATGACATAATCGGCGTATATCTCGTCTTGTGACCTAAATGACCAGTCTCATCGCAGCTCCCCAACTTCTTCGTCTTCGTCTTCAGCCGCAGCAGGTTTCCTGGCGCTCTCTGGGACATCCGCGGGATCGATTTTGCCCTCCTGCCACGCCTTGACGACCTTTGCTTGGTCCTCTGGTTTGAGATCTTCGTACCCGCCTAATTCGGATGGTTCACCGAAGTACCCTCTCATGCTTTCGCTGGTTTTTGGGGTGGTGCAGCCCCAGTGTCTCCATGCACTGCGTAGGAGAGTTAATATGGGAAGATGACGAGAATGAAGAAGGGGTGCGCACAAGCTTGTAGCTCCTCGGAAGTCGACGAGACTGCCAACGCGAAATTGGCCATTCTCGATTGGGGATCCTCAAAAGAGTAAAATCTCAACATTAACATGAGTGGCGTGGGGGGGACGAACCTTGACATGGTTCCGGGCCTGTTGTGACGCCCAAGTTTCAGATGGAGACAAGGAAGAAAATGAATGTGAGTGACCTTTGCATTTGGAGCGAGAGGAGGTCGCGTACTCTAGACGATAGCCGAAAGGTTTTTCAGCCATTGTTGGGAAGTGAAGGAAAACAGGTCGCAGAATTGCAGTACTGAATTCCACTTTATGTTAGTTCCACTCCCTACCTTCGTTTTAAAACAATTCCGCTCACTTTTGAGATTTAGAATTTAGTCGCTTCGGGATGCAAAGAGACTGGAAACTTTTAACCCAAGCAGTTTGCCATTCTCCACCATTTTAGCACCGAGGATGTATGCAAATGGTCCATAAAATAATGAACCTGACTTTGTATAACATCTGAACTCACACATGAAAAGACAGTGTATCTTAAAAAGTGTCATATTATCCGACATTTTTGGGAAGCAGCGAGGCTACCAATCTAAAATGGAAAAGGGCGGGGGCGGGATAAGAGCTGACATAAGCAGCGTAACCATTATTTCGTCACACTCTGTGACTGGGCAAAAGAATGGCCAGTCTCATCGCCATCCTCGATCTCAAAGGGAAGGCTCTCATTCAGCGCTCATACCGCGACGATGTACCCGCGTCCTACGTCGAACGATTCCTCCCACTCATCCTCGACTTTGAAGAGGAGGGTCAGCAAGTGACGCCCTGTTTCTCCAGTCAGGGGATCAACTACTTGCATATCCGACATTCCAATCTATACCGTACGTCTTCACCCCCATTACGAAGAAAGAAACAAAAGCGCGATTGGTTTAATTTTGGTATCTTAGTATTGGCACTATCAAAACGAAACTCAAACGCAGCAGAAATAATCATATTCCTACACCGCCTAACTCAAGTCCTCGTTGAATACTTCAAAGAACTCGAAGAAGAGAGTATTAGAGATAATTTCGTGATTATTTATGAGCTCATGGATGAGATGATGGACTTTGGGTATCCCCAGACGACGGAGAGCAAGATTTTGCAGGAGTATATCACGCAAGAGTCGCATAAGCTGGAGATTCAGGTGAGGCCGCCGATGGCTGTGACGAACGCGGTGTCGTGGCGGACGGAGGGGATCAGGTATAGGAAGAACGAGGTGTTTTTGGACGTTATTGAGAGCGTGAATATGCTGGTGGGGTTTTCTTATCTTCCCCCCCAATTGGATCAAAGTTTACTGATGATGGAATAGGTCAACGCGAATGGGAACGTCGTGAGGTCTGAAATTCTAGGTGCCGTAAAGATGAAGTGCTACCTCTCCGGAATGCCAGAGCTCCGGCTAGGACTGAACGATAAAGTCATGTTTGAAAGCACAGGCCGAAGTCCGTTTCCCTCCTCCTCCTCCCTCCCTTCATCCTACTAACATCTCCTCCTCTTGCAGCCGCCCGCGGAAAAGCCATCGAAATGGAAGACGTCAAATTCCACCAATGCGTCCGGCTCTCCCGGTTCGAAAACGACCGCACGATCTCCTTCATCCCCCCAGACGGCGAATTCGAACTAATGTCCTACCGCCTCTCCACGCCCGTCAAGCCCCTCATCTGGGTCGAAGCGGCCGTCGAGAGCCATAAAGGCAGCAGGATCGAGTACATGGTCAAAGTCAAAGCGCAGTTCAAACGACGCAGCTCGGCGAATAACGTGGAGATTTATGTGCCGGTGCCGGATGATGCGGATAGTCCGAAATTTAGAGCGTCGACGGGGAGCGTGCAGTATGCGCCTGATAAATCGGCGTTTGTGTGGAAGATTAAGCAGTTGGGAGGGAGTAGGGAGTTTTTGATGAGGGCGCATTTTAAGTTGCCTAGTGTTAAGAGTGGTGTGTCCCCTCATTTCTCTCTCTGCCTTCTGGCCCACTAAAAATCTACTTGAAGAAGCGGACGTGGAAAAACGCGTGCCTATAACTGTTAAATTCGAGATTCCGTACTTTACCGTGTCAGGCATCCAAGTTCGTTACCTGAAGATCGTAGAAAAGAGTGGGTATCAGGCCTTACCGTGGGTGAGGTATATCACGCAGAATGGGGATGATTATAGGTGTGTTTTTTTCTTTCGTTTCCCGGGTTTTGAAATGAAACTGATTGGGCGTAGTTTACGAACGGCGTTGGAGAAGGGGAGTGCTCCTATCATGCCGATGTGATGATTTTCTAGATCTTGCTGGACTTTTTGTTTTTCGTGTATATGTAATTGGGAATGCCTTCTGGGCTATCTGATTTGCGTGGTGGGATGATAGCAGTTGAAAGCGGACGTTCCTTCCAGTGTGCACAATGCACAATGCGTCGAGGTGCCAAAGACACGTCATTATACGCGGTATCAGCCACACAGGCTATTATAACTGGTACAACTATTGAAAACCAACCCAAGCGATCGCGAGCAAGCACCCTCAATCAACCAAATTCGTAACGGCAAAAAAAGACCATCGTAATGCTCATCTTCTCAACCAACCCAACCACCCCTTCGAGTTCCCAGCCTCCAAATTCCTCCTCCCATGGCCATGAAGCAAAGGCGTCTCCTCCCCGGCAAGGTTATGAGCGTGGTACTCCGCGTCCTCTATAACAGTTACTGTCACTTCTCCCTGATGCGCATCTGATGCTTCCGTCTCGAGGTTTGAGGGTGCCTCTGTGACCGCAACCCCTTGTCCGATGGGATTCCCAAAATCGTCGATCCCAAGCTTGCGTTGTCGAATTTTCCAGAATATGCACATGGTCAAGAGGCTTCCTTGCATTATGCCTGCTACTGCGAATGTTATCCAGCCTAGGGGAGGATAGGTTATATGGTTGAAGGATGAGGAATGATGGGGGGAGGTGACGTACTGGTCCAATTCGTCCCAGGTCTATAATTCCCAACGACGGAACGCTATCAACACCGAACACAGAAAAGAACAAGGGGAGCCCGTACCTCAACGCAATACTCAACACCATCAACACGGCGCCAGGGCTTTGAATAAGCATCATGGGTATGCTAAGCGCACCGACCACCTTGGCTTTGTATGTGTGTAGGAGTTGAGGGGCGTATTGGACGGCTGCGAGGAGGGCTGAGCTTACGCCTAGGAAGGTGGCCCATGAGGATAATTGTGCTGGGAGAGTGGGTTCTGCGGAGGAGGTGGTGGTGGAGAGGAGGAAGAAGGTTGTGAATGATACGAGGATGCTGGTGGGGTGCGTTAGGGAGGAAAGGAGCAAGGGAAAGAAAACGCACAGATGGGCAATGGTAGTCCACGCAAGCGCTATAGAGAGCTTCCACTCCTCTGACTTTACGGGAGTCTTGAAGTGCGTTGGTGGTCGAGAGTCGTGTGTGTTTATGGAGAGTTGGACGTATTTGAGGTGTGGGGGGTAGTATATTATGTATAACACGAATCTGTGTGTTTAATTAGCGGTGAGGGAGAGGGAGGAGGAGGGATGGGACGACGAACATGAGGCTGAAGAGAAGCCATTGGAGGAATAGTTGGAATACGCCTGCTGTTATTTCGAGACACGTTCCTAAGCTCTGTTTACTCGTTTAGTGTCAGTTAGTACGGTGGAAGAAGGGAACGCACAACGACACGACAGCACTTTATCACGCCCGATTGGACGGTGACCCTACAATTCACCCAATTCCTATCAAAGAGAGAAAGAGAAGGACAAAGAAGACATACATGTTCAAAACAGCCGCCGTAGCAGCCGTGGTGCCCAACAACAGAAAAAGAGGGCTAAACCCCTCTGATGAGCGAGCATTGATTATGCGAAGGTGCTGTTGGACGCGTTCAGTGTGAAGTGATGTGAATGAGCGGGCTTACTTGGGGCAAGTAGGAAATGACGAGACCGCAACAAAGGCCGAATGTGAGGAGGTTTGTGAACCAGTCGTGTTCCTGTTGGGTGTCAGTTGGGATGGGTTTGGGTTTGTGGTCGACTCACGATATTGCAGGTCGACATTAATGGGACTCTGGGAGGAGGGGCCAAGGAGGCAGTGTTGGAAGGTCATGACTAAAAATAAGAAGTCACGGTCATGACTTTGATGACTAGTCACGCGTCACGACTAGTCGAGATTCAACGCCCTCGGATACGTAATGTACTCACCAGCTCCCAAACGGAACCAAGACGCAACACACTATCTCTCCTCCGTCCTCTCTTCAGTTAGCACCGAGTCTGCGAGTTTCTTGCAGAGTTTCTGGACAGGCACCTCGCACTACACAGCTAGGTGTCCTCTGATCCGGGGGTGTTGAAATTGTTCTCTGCATTATACATGTAGACAGGTTTTATTGACTGGTAGTTCAATGGGGTTTTCAAGGGCTTTGAAAGGAGTCTTTGACTGGTTTCGTGAGTTTTCGAAGAAAGGCGAATGTCGTTGATGTTTGCTTGTGATGGGCATTAGATGGATATCATACAAATTGACTCTGTTCCTCAAGTACATGGCTATACGATGGGGTATAAGTGACAAAGATTGATTGAAGATTCTACGATGCTTGCAAGTGCGCGTGCAAGGCGACGCTAATTGAGGATGCACATTGTATCCGAACGACACGGGTGCATGATCACTGCTTGTGGACCAGCAATCTCCTTGTCAAGTCCCTCAAAAGCTCGAGCGGCAACCCAATAACATTCAAGTCGGCTACGAGACCTCGAAGTTGCATATCGGTAGTTCGTGAAAAGTCCTAACGAGTCCAGCATAAGGCGTTCGGGGCTGGCTCGTGTTCCTGTGTCGTGGCAGTAAAACAGACCAGGACATGAGAGGTGAGACTGTAGCGGGGTAATGTATGGAAGAATTGCAGGGGTTAGATTGCTGTCGTCCGTCTTTGACTTGAGGGAAGCAAGTAGAAGCGGTAGACCTTGCGCTTTATTTTGTGACAGAGGAAGCAAGTAGGACTCTGATAGTGGATATGCGTCTCTCATTCGAAGACCCAGCCGTCTATAAATTCGTGAGCCACCGCCATGATGGGAACAAAGAGAGCCATACTTGGGAAGTCTCCGCCAATAGAATGTCAACCGATGAATCAAAAGCCGTTTGACCTCACGTTGATAAAATTTGAAGACCACGACCCTCCTTTGCCTGTGAGCGCTCTTTCGAGCATCGTCGTCACTTATGAACATCGAAGGCCTCGACAAAACTCAAGCTCCCAGCACGTAGGGTCTGAACAATCAGAACCTTCAAGCACGACCGGCTATAAACGAGGTGAGCTGCTACACCGTAAATTGTGTCGTGAAAGGCAATTCAGAGGTGGAGTAGCGAAAAGTGGTCATCTTTCGGCGGGCCGTGGCTGTAGGTCGGAGAAGCTTCCTTGGGTTTCGAGGGAGCATACGGACGTCAATTCCTGGATCACAGGGTATGCAGGGGAAGAGAGTCGAAGTTCTTGTGAGCGTGCCTCCCAGCGTCTTTAAGAAAAACGGCTGACAGGATGTGGGTATGACCAGGGCAGGGGTGCCTGGAGACAATGTAAACGAGTCGACGGTACAGTGATCAAGATCCAAGAAATGCGGTCAAATTGCGCTGATAGGGCATCGCAGACGAGACAGCATGAGTGGGAGGAGAAGGACAGATGGATTGGCGTGGATTGTGATGCTCCAGAGAGACTTGACAAGTAAGATCTGTTGAGTTTGAGGGTCGACATCCATCAGTGGGGACGTAGATGTCCGCGAGACCGTCGAGATCGTCTTCTTACGTCTCCTGTGCCACAAAAAAGAAAAACTCAACCCTCGCCGACGCTGTCTTCGTTCACGTTCCTCTCGAATTGTGGCGGTCGTTGAGGAGCTCCAATTCAACTTCGAAATCGAGATCAGACTTGAGAAGGGTGGGAAGTCGGGTGTCGTCTCGCAGCGCTTGGATCGGAGCTTCTCCAGTCCGCTCGCATTGCGAATCCAGTGCAGCTCGAACAGATCTGCGGGGTAGTATCCGCTACACGGTGGCGACTCTCCATCCCATCCACGTCATTTCCAACCAACGAGTCCGAATCGACGTTCCAATCCCACGAAAAGACGGCCAACAAAGAGATCTGGCCGTCTATCTGAGAAACGTAAACCGCGGAAGTGCCAGAGAGCGGTGAGCGCCTGCGTGAGGATTCTAGGGTGGCGACAGGCGAGATAGGACCGAGGTTGGGATAGGGAAGGGAGAGTTTTAAGCCATCGCCAGAGGGGATGGTGATGGAAGAAGAGCTGGGGGTTGAACGTTGAGGAGCGAATGAGTGCGGAAATGGGGTGGAGGGCAGTTGTGGATGGTGCCTTCTGCTCGCCTGTTTCGCGCAAGAGAAATACATAGTTTGGGGGAGTGGAGGAGGCAGATGTGAGGCGGATGGGGTTGGACGGCTGCTAATGGGATGAGGAACGGATATTGATACAAGAAGACAGGGATTTGATGAGGTTCTTGCCCATCGGCTCGTTTCGTAAAATGCCTTCGGCAGAATTCGCTCTTGTTTGCTGAACAGTCGACATCGGGGTATTTTCTGTCAGAGAAGTGGGTTGCTATTCAAACTGTTAAATGCGAATCAGAGCGTCATAGTGGTGAAGAAGGTCTTACGGGGAAAGTTTTTGGGGATTCTAACCTGTTTGAACGTCGTTCCCTGAAAATTGTGAGCCCATGCTTCAATCGCCAAGGCCAGCTGATGTTGGATTTCGCCCTGGAACGCTCGCCTCAGTCGAGAGGTGCATTTCTAAGACCCAGTGACCCACAAGAGTTCGCTCAGTAGCGCGAGTTGTGGCATTTTTGGAAGCAGAACTCTGTGTGAAGGGGTGTCGTCGCCCGATTAGATTCCCGACAGCGAATTCTCACAACTGATCTCCGACTGATCACCTCTTCTTCATCGACTACGACGACCACGAGACCTATCGACGTCTTTAGCCTTCCGACTTTCCTAGTCTCCATATTACAACACGTCATTTCACTCATGGATTCGTCAAGAGCCGCACAGCTGCAAAACGCTATCGGAACCACCATATCCGGAAGAGCACAGCTCATAAACGCCGGCCGCGATGTTGTTTTTCATGGTCCTCCGCCAGTTCCAAGTACGTCAAAGTTTTACAACTCATTAATACTGCTCATATAATTGATGACATGTAGGTCTAGCCAGCTTGCTTAGTCCTGTCAGCAATGCTACACACACTCGCGCAGGTCACGTCGCTCGATGTGACCCTGGGACTCGTTTGGAGGTCATTGCTCAGATCCGGTGGTGGCTCGATGGCCATGGTAATGATGAGCGAGCTGTTGTCTGTTGGCTTAACGGACCAGCTGGCTATGGCAAATCGGCATTGGCACAGACCATTGCGGAGCGCTATACTGCAGAGGGCCGCCTCTTAGGGAGCTTCTTCTTTTTGCGAGGGGCTGGTGAACGCAGCCATATATCTCGCCTGATTCCTACTCTTGCCCATCAGATCTCTCTCACTGTTCCTGGTACAAAGCCATTTATTGAACGTGCTGTTAAGGATGAGCCAGCCCTGCTCGGGTTGACTGTCTCTATGGCCTATCGACTTCAAAGGCTCATCATAGACCCACTCCATCTCAACACTTCACGAATCTCCTCTAGCTCTGTTGTTGTTATTGATGCTCTTGATGAATGTGATGATAAAGCTGAGATGGCAGACTTCATTGATGTCCTGCTCAGGGCTTCTTCTGGGGGGACTTGTCTTCCTTTCCGAATTCTCCTCACGAGCAGGGTAGAGGAACATATTCGCAAAAAGTTTGATAATTCTCACTCTTGGTTTTTCCATCGTCTGGAGCTAGAGAATTTTGATGCTCGTCAGGACATTGAAGTACATTTTCGGAGCGCATTTGATTGCATCTATAACGAGAATTGGCAAATCATGCGGAGGATACCAAAGCCCTGGCCATCAGCTCGAGATCTCATTACACTTCTTGACAAGACTGGCAGTTCATTCACATTTGCTACTACATTGATCCAATGTGTTGGTGGAGATCTCATACCACACAGGGCCTTGCAAAAACTTCTGGCATCAGGAGCTAATGGTCTAGATTCACTCTATGAACAAGTCCTCTCTTCTGCTTCTTGGACAGAAGACTTCTGTCAGATTCTTGGAACAATCATGGTTCTGACAGAGAACAAATCCATTTCCTTTCTCAGCTCTCTCCTCTCTCTTCAGTGTGAGGAGGTCATTTGTGGGCTATTGCAAGTACAGTCCATTATCAAAATTCCTGGAGATGATGACAAGCCAATTATGCTCTATCACACATCTCTCCGGGATTTTTTGGCCATCCAATCACGATCAAAGCAATATTTTATCAATCCTCCTCTGCAACATGTTCATCTAGCTGTACTGTCTTTGCAGCATCTGGTAAAATATCCTTCAAAAGACTTTTTCCAGGGTGATGTGGCCAAGTATGCTTCCCTCAATTGGCCACACCATATTCTTTTGGGATTCCAGGAGCAAGGATCAAATCTGGATGAAACAATTATGACCTCTTTGGTAACTCTCATTGAAAACTTACTGATTTTTCAGGGGAAAACATGGAATAATACTCTGCTAAATTTGGGGTCTGGTGAAAGGGAAGGGATCTTAAGCTGTGTGAAGGATGGAAAGATTTTGTTTCAGGTCAGTCATTGCAATTTTCTCATATGGTTATCATCTCTTAACATGTATAAGACATTGCGAGGGTCAATTATTAAAAACAATTTCATCAAGATATTTCAACAAGTCATTGATTTCTATGAGGTAAGAGTTTATAATGAAGATATCTTCAGTAATTTGTTGAGATATTCCAACAGACAGTAAGTAACAGGGGCATATTGCTGCTCACAAGTTAATCTGTAAGGTTAATAGGAGGTATGTGGTTCTATACAGTGACTAAAATGTACAAAATAAAATATTGACCTGTTTTACAGAAGGTAAGCCAAGACATGACCACATTCTATTGCTATTGATAAATCACAGGAAGTAAGAACAAATAAATTATCAAGAAAAGAAGAGCTTCATTCTCATTGTTGTTTTTG